ACTCCCCACATGTACTCTCTGGTGCCCAGACAGCCTCAGGGCTTAGCAACACCTTCCTAGGACCCACCAGCTGCCGGATAGTGCTGGAGAGGACCTGCAAGGGGAAACCAAGTTCCCAAAGCCTGTTATCAGAGCAGAAATGGCTTCAGTCATCACAATCCTGATGCACCTGCCGCAAGCCTACGACCCTTGACTGAGCTGCCGAATTATCACAGGCCTTGGGGGAGGTCTTCTGTGTCCATAAGGAAACTGAGGCTCAGAGAGGCCAGTCACGGCCTGAGGTCACTGAGCCTCCACGGGAGTTTAAAGCCTCGGGCCATGTCCGCTCAGGAGCTGGGGTGGAAGAGACTTGTGTGCCTGTCTAGCTGGCCCTGGCCACAGCTCCCAAGGTAAAACGTAGACCCCTGGGCTCTCCAGTGTATGGAGGGCTGTCGGGCCCTTCTGGGCCCTCACTCAAACCTCTCCATCCCAGAGCATCTCAGTTCAGGGAGGAGGAAGTCACCCTCAAACACATCCAACCCAGAAAATAGGCAGAAGCCAAGGAATCTGATCCTTGGAGAGAAAGTCGATCCTGTCACAGACACCAGAGTGGGGAAACCGGAGCCGGCATCGAGGAGCCCCTCACATCCGGGGAGAGCAGAAATGGGGGGGTGAGCAGCAGTTGGACTAAGAAGACCCTAAGCAGAGGGCCCTGAAAGGCAGAAGAGACCTGGGTGATCCCCACTCCCAAGGGCAGAGGTTTGTCTGGCCAGCACACTAAGGCTGGACAGGAGCGCTGGTCATCGCAAGCTCCAGCGCTGACCAAGGCTGCTGCCCTTGGGCAGCGTATCTGCGTGATGGGAGGTGGGTCAGCGAAAGCTGCTCAGAGGGGTGGGGAAGGGGCCTGGGGCCTGACACCTTCAATCTGGGGCCACTTGACTCCTGTGCCGACTATTAGCCCCTGTCCGGTTCTCAGGGCAAAGGACCCAGATTGCCCAGAATACCTCCTGGTGGCAGGGGGCCCAGCCAGCTGCTTGGTTCCCGGGCTTTCTCCCGTCTCTGGGTTGGAGATAGGGGGCTGAGGCTGGTTCCCTGGGGGTGGAGAGAAGCAGCATCTAGCTGAGCCAAACCTGAAAAGCCAGTTTCATCCTTGAATCTTCTCTGCCAGGAAGTCCCAAGGTGGAGGGGTGGGGGCCTTTCCTAGCACAGAGCTAGGGCCTCCAGACCCAGGCCCGCCCATCCAGACACACACATATACACACAGATGAAAGCTGTACACACATAAGAAGGAACCCTGGTCAGGACCACCTGGGCATTGGGCAGGCATGGCTGGGGGACCTCCTGCCCATTCCACACTCAGTCCCACAGACATGCCCCTAGAAGGCAGACAGCCAGCCCCTACCCACTGCCCTTAGTAGCTGGGGTCCCTTCATCTTCCCAGCCAAGAGAGGGCCTGCTTCAAGGCACCCTGTAGTGGCCTCAGGCTCAGTCCTGGCCTGCTCCTCTTGGCCACTGAGCACAGGGTAGGGGGGGTGTCTCTGGAAGTAGCTCCCACGGCCCAGCAGAGTCAGTGTTTACTGATGGGTCAGTCTCCATCCCTAGCTCCACAGCTACTGCTGTAAGTGCCCATAGGACTCCCATCCCCAGGGAGCACAGCTGGGACAGGGATGATCCCAAGAAGTTCCACCCTCGGAGCTGGAGTTTCAACTTGGAGACACCACCCACCGGTGGTGGCCGGGAAAGAGAACATAAGTGGGGGGGAGGGTACAACTCATAGGAGCCTGGAGACAACCCCAGACTCCGGGCCCTCCCGCTCCCAGGACCCTCAGCTGTTGGGCGGGGGCTGGAGCCGAGCTGTCCGGCCTGGTCAGCCCGCTGGGACGTGCTAATCCGGCCACGGGCTATTTTTGCGGTGCGCCGGGTTTGGAATCCGGGGCTGGGCCGCCTCCGCAGGAGGCTCGGGAAAGTCCAGTAAGGAAAGTTCGGGTACTGGCCTCCGGCGGGCCCTGGCCCGAACCCCGGACCCAGACCCGACCTGGACCCCAAACCCGACACGGCTCCGGCCGCTTCGAGCGGCTCCGGCTGCGGCGCGCTGAGGACCAGCCCCGCGCGCAGCGGACGCAGCCCCGGAACCCGCGCGGCCCGCGGCGCCCTGCGCCCTCCCGGCGCGCTCACTCACCGCCGCCGCCGGCACCCGGGGTCCTCGGGGGTCCGGAGGGCCTCGGGGAGGGGCTGCCACCGCGCCGGGAGGGCTCTAGCGCCGAGTCCCCGCCCGTCCGTCCGGCCCGCCCGCCGGGAATGCCAGGGCGCGAGGGGCGTGCGCGCCGGGGGCGGGCCCGGCCGGAGGGGGCGGCCGCACTGACTCAGGGCTCAGGAATGCGCGCGGCCCGCCCGGCCCGGGCCGAGCCACCTCCTCCGGGAAGGCAACTGAGCTCCGCTCTCTCCTGTGTCCGGCTGCGGGGACACCTGTGGCTGGGCGGTCGTGAGCGCCGCGGCTGAGGAGGGAGGACCTGGTGGCCCAGCTGGACGGAGCCTGATGGTCAGCTACAGACCTAGGCTTCTCAGCCTCTCCCTGACTCCACAGTGACTCCTGATCTTATATTCTACCTTGACTTGAGCTTGAGAAGGGGGTTGGGGGAGTGGGGGCTGGGTGTGGGTGTGGGAGAGTGTCCCTGGATGCCCAGGAAACCAGACCACGAACCTCCCCCAAGGCGCACACTGACAGGTCACTTACCTAGGTTCCCCCAGTCCCACGTGAGCGCTCACTCTGCACACATTCACACTCATAAACACACGCGCATGCATTCATGCACTTACACACAGTCATGCTCACATACTCATTACACACACCTGTTTACACATTCTCATACGCACGATTATACACTTTCATGCCCACTCTCACACATTTATACATGTGTACATACCACAATTATACACTTCCATTCACGTTTTCACACACCCATGCACACTCACACTCACACAAGGCAGGATCAGAACAGTTACCCCTTCCCCAGGCCACTGTGCTCCCCACCCCTGGAAAGCCTGCTCTCCCAACCGGCACCTCCAGGCCAGCCTGAGCTACAGCTCCTAAAAACCTTGGAGCAAGGGCAGAAGTACAGTGTCTGGCGTCCACTCTGCTCTAGCCTCTTGCAGAACTCACCAGCCACCTCTGGTGGGCTCATCCCTACACCGAGTTGGATACAAAATGGCCAGTCTGCTCCTAGGCTGAGTCTGAAGCTGGGCTGCTAATGAGAGTTTCCCAGCCTGCCTCTCTCCTGACATTGAGGGAGTGTGAGGCCTGGCCACCCAGAGCAAGACCTCGGGGAGGAATGAGGGAGAGCCAGCAGCAGAGCACAAGCAGGAGCTGTGAGTGGTGGAGGGGCCCAGGCCTCCCCTGGATAGTCGCTACAATGGTCTCCCTTTTTCTCTCAGAAAAAAAACAGAACTGGGGCCAAGGGTCTCCTAAGGACCCTTCCACCAGATGTCAGAAGACCTTGGGCACACGAGGCCCAGCCCCTCAAGCGTCAGAGGGCCCACAAATGTTTCGTCAGGTCCTTTGCTGGTCTGGGACCAGGCGGCCCTCCCCCTCTGTGCCCGATGTCCGACTGCAGACAAGCTGATCCACACAAAATAAAGCTGACAATGGGAGGTAGCAGCCAACTTACAGGTGGGCCCAGAGCCTGGGTAAGGGACAGGTCCTCTGATTGTTTCCTCATCCATACTATGGGACAGAGGGGTGCCTGCACATTCCGGGTCCTCTACGAACACAGGTATAGCAACATGATTCTTAGGTACAGGGACACAATGAAGCTTTGAAGGGGCTAGAGGGGACTCCTTCACTAGTGAAGGGAGGTGACTACAAGTGCATTGGGGACACAGGCAAGAAGGAGGCTGCCCAGTGCTGATGCCCAGAGTTCCTGCAGCCCACACATGCCAACCCTCCCTTGCCAGGCTCTCAGCCAGACAGGACAGTTTCTCCATGCCCAGTATTCTTGACCCCTGCCAGGGATAAGCAGGCCCTACCCACCTGGATACCCAGACTGGGCAGGCAGGGCATGCAGCAGTGTCCTCTCTGGAGGCCAGGGCCTGGGCTCATCTCCAAAGTATTCCATGGCTGGGCATCCAGTACTGGCAGGTTCCTTCCTGCAGTGGGTGCTGCAGGGTGCCACCCAGACCTGCTCCATGACCAGACATTCATCCACAGCTGCCAGGGGCACCAGCTAGTGCTGGCTCACAGCTGAGAACCCCACCAAGGAGTCACCTTCAGTGGATAAGAGCTGCCTTGCCCAAAACTATGCCTCACATCTGCCCCACTGCCTTATGCCCTGGTGGAGAAGCCCCTACATGGAAACCCCTCTCCCAGTGCTTCTGTTCCCTCTTCACCCAGCCCTGGAGAAAAATCAGCTGCAACTGCCTAGCACGTGGGTGAGTGACTGGGGATGGGTGAATGTCTGGGCCACCTCCATGGATAGGACCTGAGGGGTTGGGAGCCCGGTCCAGTAGGAAGAGTCCCTGCTGGCCACTCTGGAATCTGGAATCCTCAGCTCAGCAGGCCAGTTCCTGGGCTGGAGGGTGGGTGGGGTTGGATGAACACAGGACCAGCTCCTAGCTATTTGGGGAGGTGGCCGAAATGGGCCAGGCCAGCCAGGGGCCTGAAGTCACTGGCTATTTCTGAGGCAGCTGCCCCTCCCCATGTCTCAGGGGATGGCAAGGGGTCCAGTGAGTGCCTGGGCCCAGGCCCCAGCTGCATTGGCAGCACAGCGCCAGGAAGGGAGGATGCACCCTGAACACACCTCCTTCAGGTGCCTTCTCTACCCAAGGAGACTCTGACACCCCCCATCTGTCACCTCTCTTCTCGAGGTGCCAGCCATCCCTATGTCCCTACCCTAGAGAGGACACTGAGCCAGTGCTGGGGCTGGAGCTCGGCCTCCTTGACGACAGAGCAGCTATCCTTTCTCTCAAGGCTCTGGTGACTGATGGCCCCTCCGCAGGCTGGCCCAGCAGGGCACAGAGCAACTTACCCCAGCACGGATCCTTCTGAAAGTACTGAGCATGTCCTCACCTCCATCTTCCACTGATATCCTCCAACATGCCTCTCCCAGCCCAGCGCAGGGCACACTGGGGACAGAGAAGGCCCCAGGCCCCTCCTCCCCCCTAGCACCACCTTCTCTCACTCCCGGCCAGCCTGTCCTGCAGGCAACAGTGGGAATGCTTAACCCACCACTTCCAGCCTGCGGTGGGGCCTCAGACCACAAACCAGGAAGTAGGGGGCGGCAGCGGGGAGCCCCCCCTTGCAGAGGTTGTGCAAGCCCTGCCAGAACATCTGGAGAAGTGGGTTGCTGGCGCTGGCCCTGCCTCATCCTCCTCATGGAGGCCAGGGCTCTCGTTCCTCATCCTCCAGAAATAAAACACCCCTCTGAGAATGTGTGGACTCCCATGATTTCTGCAAGGACCATGCACCATTTGTGAAACAAGAACAAAAATGGCCCTGGCCAGTTTGGCTCAGCGGTTAGAGCGTCAACCTGCAGTCCAGAGAGACCCGAGTTCGGTTCCCGCTAAGGGTGTGTACCTCGGTTGCAGTTTGTCCCCGGCCCTGGTTGGGTCGTGTGGGTGGCAACCACTCGATGTGTCCCTTTCACATTGATGTTTCTCTCCCTCTCTCTCCTTCCCACTCTATCTGAACAAAAAATGGAAAAATGTCCTTGGGTGAGGATATTAAAAAAAAGAATAAAAATGAATACAAAACAGCATCCACCCTGCCCCTGCCCTCATCAGGGGGATGAAGCCTAACTGGGGCCTTCGTTTCCTTCCCCAAATGAGGAAGTGGCGGAGGAGAGGGCTAGAGGGGGGCTGGGCACACAAGAAGGCTGGAAGGGGGTGTCATTGTTCAGACAGAATGGCTGCAGGGGTTGAGGAGGAAAAGAAAGAGGTGGGAGTCACATCCAGGCCTGCCTTCCGAGCAAGGGTTTGTAACACATTGCCCACCCCCGGAAGCAGCACTAGTGCCACAAACTGCTGGGTAGCTTCCAGCAGGCTGGAAGGCTGCTGCCCCTCCCTTCCCAGGAAGTCCTGGCTGGGGCCCTGGGGTGGGAGTGGGAGGCTGGAGGGCTGGAGTTCAGACCTTGGGCTGATCAGAGAAGAAGGAACAGTTGGAGACCAGGGTCCTCCCAGCTGGACTTGCCCTGAGACCAGGTGCCGTGCCCATCTTAGGGCCCCAGTCACATGATCCATCCAGCACCCCCCACCATCTAACACCATCCTATGCCCCTTGCTCTCCAGGCCCCATGGGTACCCCCTCCCAGGGCCAGGGCTTTCCCAGGACAGGGGTGGGTGGGATAGGAGTTGGACTGTGCCTACCAGCAGGGAGGGGCCCTGAAAACCTAGATATACCCTAGAGTGACAGCGCAGAGGGGTGGCTCTGTTGGGTGTTAGGTGCTACCAGTGTGCCATCTCTCCCCGGGGAAATTCCCCTAGAACAGTCCTATGCCTAAACAGTGACTATCCACAGCCCTTCCTTCCTCTGGACCAGGCACTGCACTCCCCAGATTCCCCTTCCCCTTCCCCTGGGGCACAAATCCGATGTGAGAGACCATAGGCAGGGTGGGCAGTTGTGCTGGGTGTGGGTAGGGGCATCAGAAATGGAGGGCAGCAGTGTTTTCCATTCTGCCCCTAGCTGCTGCCATGCAAGGTGGTGTTCACCGGTTCCCTTGGGTCCCCTTAGCCCTCGTCCAGGCCTCCTAGTCCAGGCCTCGGCCTCCTGCGGAGGGTGGCCATGCTCAGCGGGCCCACTCCAGGACTGGGCAGGCTCCTCCGGGCATCCCCGGGTGGGAGGGGTGGGGACTCACTGCAGACACAGAATCCCCAGACTGCCTGTGACGACCCTGGCGTCGGCTTCCCGGGAGAAGTCTTTCCATCCTACTCCCCCACCCGACTTGTCTTCTCCACCCAAATGACCCGCGAAGTCCAGGAAAACGTGTCCCAAGGACCTGGTCTCCCGCCCCCTCCCTCACACGACCTCCACGTGCACCCCACCGTCTGCAGGCCACTTCCCCAAAGCACTGCATCTCCAACCAGGGCCCCTCGAGGGCCCAGACAAGGTTCATGACGGGCCAGTCCTCTTGGTGGTCTGACCACCGGCTGGTGGTAGAGTGGGCTCTCCGGCTGTGGGGGTCAAGGGAGGCAGGGCAGGTCACTGGGAGCGGCGTCGAGGTGCGGCGGGTCTCGCCCCAACCCCAGCCGCCTTCCCCCCTTCTCACTCCACAGTGCCCAGCAGTCCCGGGTCTTTGTCCAGGACGGGAGGTGGGGCACTGGGCAAAGGGATGTCCCGGGAGCCTGCGTCCCGCGAAGCCACCTCCGCGTGGCCCCGCCCGGCCCCTCTTGCGGGGCGGAGTCCGCACCCCGCCCGGGAGGCCGCTCTCCCAGGCTTCCGTCCTCCTCTGCGCAGGCGCAGGCGCAGGCTCCACCCCCGGCCGCGGCGCAGCTTCCGGGTTGGCTCGCGAGCGGCTTTGCAAGGGGCTGGTCCCGATCCCCGGAGTCCGGGCCGGCCGCGGGATGCCCGCGCGTAGCGGGACCCAGGTGAGCGCTCCTCCCTCCACGCACCGCCGAGGACCAGCCTCCGAGGGCGAAAATCCTACCCGGAGTCGCACTCCTGCGGAAAACCAGTAACGTGCGCACGGCAGGCCCCCGACAGGGTCTGCGGTTCCCAGGCGAGCACCCACCGGCGGGGTCGGGCTCCTGGCTGGGCTCCATTTGTCAGCAGTGAAGTCTAGGCCGGCCCGAGGTCGCCAGGGAGGCCTGGGGGGAGACCCCCACACCGGTTGAATGCTGGGCACTTAGGCCCAGCTCAGATGGCCCCTCCGCAGGAGCCAGCCTGTAGACAGAAATGACCGTGGGGTTGGCCTAGCAGTTGGCCCTGGTGTCTGTCACAGCCAGATAAATGCTCTCCCTTTGTTTACTAATTCCGTTTGCCCGTGTTTTGATGGGGCGCTGGTGGGTCCCTTGGAGACCCCCATCCAGGCCAGGCCCTCCCAGTCTAGCAAGAAACACTTGTCCCCAGGTTTTGCCCGGACGTATCCCAGGTGGACAGTCTCTTCCTTTCATTGAATGCTTGCTCTCTGCCAGCCAAGTGCTTTCCTGGCTTCTCGCTTTATTTTCAGTGCAGATGTGGCTGGTTCCCTTACTATAGAGAAAACAGAGGTGGACACCTTTGGTCATTTTCTGGGACTTCTCACCCAGAGAACCCTCATTTCTAACCAAGGCCAGGTGATGCGCATGAGGTGGTTTGAAGCAGCACTCACCCTTAGGTGCAACAGCAGCGTGGTCCCATTCTTCAGCCCTCCGGTTAAACGGCCTGTCACCATCACCAGGAAGGGCTCTGAGACAGTTTCAAATCCTAGGTCTATAGTGGGGAAGCTGAGGCCTCTCTGAGCCTCAGACCCTGGACGGCCATATGAGTCCCCCACCACCCAGAGTGGGCCAGGCCAGAGACCCAGAGTGACCCGAGTCATGGAGCAGGCCAGGGGCCAAACTTGGGTTGAGATCAGGGACCTCCGCGTCCCAGAGTCTGAGCCCATGGTGGGTATTGGCAGATGGGCTGGACTGCAAAGACGGTCACGTCAGCGTCCATTCTCAGACTGGCGGTCTCCACTCGACATGAAACGTCAGCACTTATGTTAAAAATAATGGGTCTGTCACATGCTAGGGAGACATGGGTACTGCTGTAGATCAGCCCTTGAGGATGGTGTTTCTGGGCCCTGATGCTCACCTGCTCCTTTTATCTCCCCCTGCTCTTTGGAGATCAGCTGTTCCTAGAAGAGCCAAGGGTGTGTGCTCAGGTTTCCTTGGTGGGAGTGGGGGGGGACACGGTGTGGCAGGTAGAAGGCAGAAAGTGCACAGTGTCTCAGCAAATCCTCCTCATCCCTTAGGAGACATCACCTTTGCCCTACTTCTTAATCATTCTAACATCCTGGGTCATGAGGCAGAGGACAGTTGGGTACTCAATGGAGGGTCATGAGCTTCGAGTGGGGGGCCAAGCAGATGGTCAGCCTGGTGTTTACCCACTTATGTAAGTCAGATCTTCTAGGCCATTCTGAGGCAAGGTCTGGCATAATAGATGTGTCAGCAGGGGGGAGGGGTGACACACTGACCCTCAGTCCATCCCCCCCAAATTCCTGGTTAAAGTCTGGTGTAAAGGGCAGGGTTCCAAAAACAAGCTCAGAAGTTCATCTGGGGTCCATGTGATAAATGGGAATCAGAAGATACCAGCCCTCCTGTCTCAGCCTTGGGTGCCCACTGTCCCCTCCCTGTGGCCGGTAGCCCTCTGCCACTGCGTTATACATCTCCTGCATGTGGCAGGCGTGTGAAGCAGAGTGGTTACACTGTCACCTCTGCCACCGACCTTTCCTCACATGCACTCATTTTCCAAGGCCTCCTGGGACCCTCTTGAGCCCAAGGGGCTGAGTACATCAGGTCTGGCGTTCTGTTTGTTCAAAATGGTTTCCCTCATTTTGCAGATGTGGAAACTGAGGCAGGCAGTCAAATATGGTCCTGAAGCACTGCAAGTCTGACTCTACCGCACAGTCTTCTGCCCTCTCCTGTTCAGACACTTTATTTTGTTCTTTCCTATACAGCTTTCCCGCAAACTGGGGCAAAAAAAGCAGCGACCTTTGGAGGCAGATGGAGCCCAAACACCTTCCCCAAAGGAGCCCCGCCTGGGTCTGCCCAAGACCCTGGATCCCCAGCGCAGTATCTATTTCTCGAGCCCAAAAGACCAAGCTGCTCGACTGGGATTAGACTTTTTTGACCAGCCCGCAGTCCCCCTGGCCCGGGCATTTCTAGGACAGGTATGTAAACGTAGTGACGTGGCCTTTGCTGAAGTGGTCTGTTAGTGGTGTCTGCCTGCCCGTTCTGGGCACTGAGGACACTAGCTGTGTGCGCCCGGTATTGCCCTCAGGGCAGGTTTCTTTTGAGTGCTGGCCCTGGTGTCTGTGAGGGGCTAACTTTGCCTGCCCTGTCCCCTGACACAGTTCGTGCCCCTCTGTAGCTTGTCTGTGTAGTAGTGACAGCTTTTAGCCACATGAGAGTGGTGGCCATGGCCTGCGACTGCCCAATGTCAGGATTGCCTTGACACACAGCCTCCTCCTCATCACAGCAGCTCACAGTGCGGGTGCTGCCTCCCCAGTGGCCCCTGAAGCTCATAGCAGGTTCAGGATCTGGGAAGCAGGGATGGCACAGGGCCCATGCCAGCAACAGCAGGGTTTGCGCCACATCTGTCGAGTACCATCTGGGGTTGTTCCTGGGTGTCAAACTGCAGGCCTGGTTTCTGGTGCTCTGAGATTCCTTGGCCTGCCCTGTGTCATTTCACGAGACTGCCTGTAGGTTAAAGTGGCCAAGGTGAATCGGTTTCTGTGGCTAACAGAAACTCGGTGCCAGGAGTTGGGTGCTGAAAGGAGCAGATCTGAAAATGTGGGTTAGTGGAGTGTAACCTAAAGTGGGACTTGGTGGGTAAGAAGGTCTGTCCCGTGAGAATGCTTCCAGCTGCAAGGGCCAAAAGATCCTTCTAGAAGAACCCTAAATAATGAGGGTTGTTTTGGGTGTTTTGGTTAATCCTCACCCAAGAATATTTTTTCATCGATTCTTTAGAGCATGAGCAAAGGAAGGAGAGAGAGGGAGGGGAACACCAACTGGTTGCATCCTGCACGACCCCGACTGTGGCCGGGGATCAAACCGGCAACCCAGCTACGTGCTCTTGACCAGAATGAACCCAAGACCTTTTGGTCCGCAGGCCAACGCTCTAACCGCTGAGCCAAACCGGTCAGGGCAATAATGAGGGTTGATGCTGTCACATACAATGGCTCATGGGGCAAGGGAGTCCCAGCATTATCAGGGGCCCAAGGGCCTCAGCGGGTCATAATTTCCCTTAGGCCCCCATCATGCCCACTTGAGCCCGAAGGTAGACGGGGCAGTATCCAACAAAGAAGGAAGGGTTTCACCCTGTGTCCCTTTGGCCAGGGAGGACAGCCTCATTTTTTAAATATATTTATTTATTTTTAATATTTTTATTGATTTTTTAGAGAGAGGAAGGGAGAGGGACAGATAGAAACATGGATAAGACAGACACATGGATCAGCTGCCTCCTGCATGCCCCCCACTGGGGATCAAGCCCAAAACCTGGGCATGTGTCCTGATTGGGAATTGAACCAGGATCTTCCAGTCCATGGGACAATGCTCAACCCACTGAGTAACACCAGCTAGGCTTGATTTTTTTTTGAGAGAGAGTGAGAGGAATGGAGAGGAAGGGATAGAAAGAGAGAGAAATATCGATCAGCTGTCTCCTGCATGACCCCTACTGGGTATTGAGCCCAAAACCTGGGCATGTGCCCTGACTGGGAATTGAACTGGTGACCTTTTGGTGCATGGGATAGTGGTCAATCCCCTAAGCCACACTGGCCAGGCTTAGAATTTTTTTAAAAATATATTTTATTGGCCCTGGCTGGTTACGCTCAGCGGTTAGAGTGTCGGCCTGCAGTCCAGAGAGACCGGGGTTCAGTTCCCGCTAAGGGCGCGTACCTTGGTTGCAGTTTGTCCCCAGCCCTGGTTGGCTGTGCAGGTGGCAGCCACTCGATGTGTCCCTTTCACATTGATGTTTCTCTCTCTCTCTCTTCCTCTCTCTCTCTCCCACTCTGTCTGAACAAAAAATGTCATCGGGCCCTGGCCAGTTTGGCTCAGCGGTTAGAGCGTCGGCCTGCGGTCTGGAGAGACCCAGGTTCGGTTCCCGCTAGGGGCACGTACTTCGGTTGCAGTTTGTCCCCGGCCCTGGTTGGTCGTGTGGGTGGCAGCCACTCGATGTGTCCCTTCACGTCGATGTTTCTCTCTCTCTCTCTTCCTCACTCTCCCTCCCACTCTATCTGTACAAAAAATGGAAAAATATCCTCAGGTGAGGATAAAAAAAAAAAAAAAAAAAAAAATGTCATCGGGTGAGGATAAAAAAATATATATATATATATTTTTAAATATATATATATATAAAAATATATATATATATATTATTGCCCAGCCAGTGTGGCTCAGTGGTTGAGTATCGACCCATGCACCAAGAGATCACCGATTCGATTCCCAGTCAGGGCACATGCCCAGGTTTTGGGCCAAATCCCCAGTGGGGGGCATGCAGAAGGTGGCCAATCAATGTTCTCTCTCATCAATGTTTCTCTCTCTCTCTCTCCTCCCTTCCTCTCTTTCTAAAATCAATAAAGAAAACTTATAAATAAATGAGTAAATATGTATGTGTGTATTTATTTATTTATTCATTTAATCCTTACCCGAGGACATATTTTTTCCATTTTTTGTTCAGATAGAGTGGGAGGGAGGGAGAGAGAGAAACATCGACGTGAAAGGGACACATCGAGTGGCTGCCACCCGCACGACCAACCAGGGCCAGGGACAAACTGCAACCGAGGTACGCGCCCTTAGTGGGAACTGAACCTGGGTCTCTCCGGACCTCAGGCCGACGCTCTAACCACTGAGCCAAACCGGCCAGGGCTATTTATTTCTTATCCTCATCCAAGGACATTTTTGCATTTATCTTCAGATAGAGTGGAAGGGAGAGAGGGAAGAAAAGAAGAGAAACATTGATGTGAGAGAGACACATCGACTGGCTGCCACCTACATGACCCAACCGGGGCCGGGGACACACCACAACTGAGGTACTGCCCTTAGCGGGAACTGAACCCAGGTCTCTCTGGACCACGGGCCGACGCTCTAACCACTGAGCCAAACTGGCCAGGGCTTGCTTGCTTGCTTGCTTGCTTTATTTATTTATTTATTTATTTATTTAGAGAGGAATGGAGAGGGAGAGGGGTAGAAACAAGGACAGCCTCTTTTACAGCCTCCCAGTGGATGTCCTTGCAGACCCCTTGGCCAGGCTTGGGTCAGCCCTCTATAGGTCATTGAAAGGAGTGGTGAGTTGCCATGACACCCAGACCATTCTCAAGTCACCATCTCAGCTGGGAAGGGTGTGGCCTCCCTGGGGACCCTCACCAGCAAGGATATGTGTTTGTAATAGGCATGGGAGGCAACCAACATCTACTATCTGGAAATTTTATTGGAGTGGAAAATTTAAATGAAAAACAACAGTGAGAAAAGAGCAGGCCCCTGGAGGAATGGAAACAGGAGGGTGAAGCTAATCTCCCAGAAGGATGGACCTGAGGCCTCATCTGAGATGGAACGGGGACTCCTTTACTTGCCCGGAGGTGGGCTTCCACGGGAGGCATCGACCCCCTTCTTTCCTCCACTGTCTCAGGAAGGCCTTTTCCAACACTACTCCAGCATTCTCCTCCCTGCCTCGTAACACTGATCCTGGCCAGACACACTGGGCTCCCAGGGCTAAGGCAGGGGTGGCCTGGCCTGAGGACAAGGCAGGTGCTGGGGACGTCCCTGGGGAGGTGGCTGCCCCCACAATTCTGTGAACCCTGGTCAGGTCAGGCCTGGGACTTTGGACACTGAAGGTAACTACTATTCATTCCCAGGGCCATACTGTGCTGTGCAGCCAAGAAATAGTCCCCTCCATGGGGCAGAAAGCTCCAGGCTAGGGAGCATGTGACTCCCTGGCATGCCCAGCACTCCACGAGCCCTCCCTGGCTCTCCTGGGCTGCCCTCCTAGGTACTCTGCTGGCCTGAGAGCACCCACCCCTCCAGTGACAACCCCTGGCAACTGCCCCTGTCCTCAGCCAGCCCCTCCTCCCTCGCAGCCCCACCCCTGCCCAGGGTACTGTCCAAGCCAACCACAGCGAGGCTGACCTTCCTGGCCCAGTGCCTACACTGACCCCATTCCTTGAGCTGGCCACACCCAGGGCCGTGGTTCAGGCCAGGGACATGGGGGGTGGGAGAGGCAGCCAGTCCTGCTGCCTGGAAAGGCCTTTCAGAGCTGGTGGGCAGGCGCTGCGAGTGACAGTACTTTGTGTTTAGTCCACAGGCTCTAGAGTATCCCAGGTAGCCATGTGGGGGCACCACTGGGGTGCTCTCCATGCTGCCCTGCCCCAGCCTAAGCATGTAAGTTTAGGGGACTCGGGAGGAAGCAGTGTGAAGGAGGGCCCCACTGACAGGACACGTAGTGTGTGAATACACTAGTGCTGGTTTGCAGCCCAGCAACGGCAAGAGTTTGAAATGTCAGCACCCTGTGGACAAGACCTGTTGTCTGGTGGTCCAACAAGACAAAGGGGGCATGGGGGGAGAGGGACTGGTGGCCCTGGTGTACCCTGAGCAAGGGAGGTGAGGTCCAGGCTGTAATGCATCAGGTAGAGTGGACCCATCCCTTCCTGCCGAGCTGACCATGACTGCCCACAGGTCTTGGTCCGGCGACTCAACGATGGCACAGAGCTCCGTGGCCGCATTGTGGAGACTGAGGCATATTTGGGGCCGGAGGATGAAGCTGCTCACTCAAGGGGTGGCCGGCAGACCCCCCGCAACCGCGGCATGTTCATGAAGCCAGGGACCTTGTATGTGTACCTCATCTACGGCATGTACTTCTGCATGAATGTCTCCAGCCGAGGTGAGCTGTGCTGGGGCTGGAGCAGGAAGCTGGACACAGCCCCCTCAGCTGGCAGCTGGGAGACCCCTGGGAAGACCAGGGTGGGGCACGTGCTTGAGTAAGGAGGTGCTATTGCTAGGCTATGTCCGGGTTTCAGGAATTCTGGCTGTACTCACAGGGTGGTGAGAGGGGCTGGGGGCCCACATGAAATAGAGGTCATGGGTTGACCTGAACACAGAGCACACAGGTTCTATAAGGCCACCATGGGTCCCAGAGCTCAGATGTGGGATCACCAATAGGCCAGGGTAGACTCAGGAGGGGCTGGTTTTGAAAAAGGAGGGTGAAATCTATTTTTGAGTTGAGTTGGGCTCTGACAGGGGCTTTGCCAGGCTGCCAGTTGTGAGGTCTGAATTACTTATTCTCAACTGGAGAGGATTCTGCCACCCTGGGGAACATTAGGCAGTGTCAGAGACATTTTAGGTCATCACAGCTGGTGGGATGATGTTTCACAGCTCACAGTGCACAGGAGACACCCCCACTCGCATCCAATGTCAATCGTGCAGAGTAGGAAGCTGCTGGGCTGCAGCCCCCAGGAGAACCCACTCACCTGCTGGGCCTGTCTGGGGCAGCCTCTATGCTTTGTGAGCAGGTGGCTGTTTTCTGGGTGGTCTGTGCTCAGAAGAGCCCACAGCACCATCCTTCCAGAGCCACTGCTGACCAGATGCAGGGTCTGCCCAGCCCCCTCTGGCTAGCCAGTCCGCGTGCTGTCTGCCACGCTTCCTCTTACTGGTCCCAAGATGAACGAATGCTTGAGGGGATGGGTTTTGGTATGCTGCAAGTCAGACACATTCGTGGAATGATTCCAGTGACGTGGGAGTCGTGATTGCCCAGAGGACAGCTGGCGATGTTCATTGCCAGAGCTGCAGGGGCAAGAGGGGGGAGGTAACCGATGACTGGCCCCGTGCCTGCCACAAAAGGCGTTGAGTGAAACTGAGTGACTGGACCTCAGGATGGTGGGGACCACCCACAGGGCCGTTATCACCCTGGAGAGCTTATTTTGGTCATCGAGCGTTTCTTTGGCTGTGCAGCCAACCACCTCATGAGGCGGGACTGAACTCAGATAAGGAGAGAGACTGAGTCCAGAGGTGTCTGGGGCTATGGTCAGCAAGGGAGGAAGAGCCAGGGGTTCTGAAGGTAGACAGGGTAGACATGGGAGGTGGAGTATCACTTTCTGGACACATGACCAAGATGCCCCAGGAACGCCTAGTTCAGGGGGGCACCAAGCCACAGTCAGGGCCAAAGGTTATCCTGGTGCATCAAGGGAGAGGGGAGGCTGAGTACATGCTCCACTCCTGCCGGCCCTCAGGTAGAGGCAGTGCAGAGAGGTCCAGGAGAGCAGTTAGGTGAGATTGCTGAGGCCAAGCAGGTGGTGCAGGTGAAGTAGGGGTGAGACTGGAGCCCCAGTGGGAAGAAATTAGGTCGTTGTGATATTATGTCAGAGTGCCGGCCGGATTCATTAATTTCAGGAGATGTCTGGGGCAATGAATGGAGTAGGCTGCTCCTTCAACCCATTTTGGGGGCTTAGTGAGACAGTGAGGAATGTGTTACATCCAGAGAGGCTCGGGGTGGACACAGAGGGAGCCCTGAGGCTGGTGGGATGGGCAGGGCCCAGGAATTAGAGGATTGGAACTTCAAGGCTTTGCTTGCCCTTAGTATCTCCCCCGCCCCCCTTATTGATTTTAGGCAGAGAAGAAGGGAGAGGGAGAAATAAAACATCGATGAGAGAGAATGTGGATTGGCTGCCTCTGCATGCCCCCCACTGGGGACTGGGCCCACAACCTGGGCATGTGCCCTAACCAAGAATCAAACCAGTGACCTCTTGGTGCATGGGTCGACGCTCAACCACTGAGCCACAATGGCCGGGCACCCTTAATATATTTTGAGGTCCTCTGCAAACTGGCTGGTTAAAAGCATCCGGTCACACCCTGGCCGTTTTGCTCAGTGGTTAGAGCATCAGCCTGTAGTCCTGAGAGACCCGGGTTCAGTTCCTGCTAAGGGCATGTACCTCGGTTGCAGTTTGTCCCTGGCCCTGGTTGGGTCATGCGGGTGGCAGCCACTCAATGTGTCCCTTTCATGTCGATGTTTCTCTCTCTCCCTCCCTCCCACTCTATCTGAACAAAAAAATGGAAAAATGTCCTCGGGTGCGAATAAAAAAAGAAAAAAAAAGTATCTGGTCACAAAACCCCACCTGCCAGCTGCTGGCTGTGCTGGAGGGTGCAGCTGCTGTGTCCACTCAGGGCCAGCTCCTAGGTGCTGAGGCCTATATGGCAAGGCCTAAGAATGGGGACTGGCCTGGCCACAGCCCAGGTTAAGCCTCTCAGACTCCCAGGTGGAAGGGTAGGCAGTCAGAGTGGTACCTCAGGAGAGTGGCCTTGCTGGGACTGAGGCTCCTCTGGCCAGGGACAAGGGAATTCGGACAAATGTGTCTTCTTGGGCTCAGGGTATCTGTTTCCTGTCTGGCCTGTGAAGTAGCCTGGACTGGTTGGGAGGGCTGGGCCAGAAGGCATCCCAAGGGGGTGAGGGGTGCTATCAGCAGGCACTTCCTGCCCTGTCAATCTCTCCAGTGTTATGGGGTGGGGCTCACCCAGCATCCTATGCACACTGGTGGCTGCTCTGAGCCAACCTTCTGGCTTGCCCAATAGACACGGAATGGATAGAGGCAGATAGGGGACCCTGAGCTGGGTAGGGATCTGGGCCAGATCTGAGGCTTTCTGCTTCCAGCTTACTGGTGGGGTGACCATGCCCAGGGAGGACTAGCCATTTGGGGTTTCCTTTGCCAGTCTCAAAGCTGTTGCTGGTAACCGAATCAGAGGAAGCCAACAGGCTGATTAAACACTTGCTAAGCATTTTTACTGCTTCTCCCTAGCTGATGGTCAGGCCCTCTGGCTCTGTCGAGCCGTGGAGCCTCATGGGTGCAGGTGTGTAGGAGGGAGTGGCAGGCAGAGGGCCGGGACAGTGGATGAGTGTAGGCGTGCTCCAGAAGGCAGCTGCATCCTCCCTGCAGCACTAGTTGTGCCCTGGGGTGGGGAGGGCCAATCACTGTCTGTCTGTTCCACAGGGGATGGGGCATGTGTCCTGCTGCGAGCACTGGAGCCCCTGGGGGGCCTGGAGACCATGAGGCAGCTTCGCAGCACCTACCGGAAAGGCAGTGCCAGCCGAGCCCTCAAAGACCGTGAGCTCTGCAGTGGCCCTTCCAAGCTCTGTCAGGCCCTGGCCATCGACAAGAGCTTCGACCAACGAGACCTGACTGAGGACAAAGCTGTGTGGCTAGAGCACAGCCCCCCAGGGCCCAGGGAGCCAGCTGTGGTGGCGGCAGCCCGAGTGGGTATTGGCAACGCAGGAGAGTGGGCCCAGAAGCCCCTGCGCTTCTACCTCCAGGGCAGCCCCTGGGTCAGTGTGGTAGACAGAGTGGCTGAGCAGGGCACACAGGTCTGAACAAGGGCCTGCTCAGGACAGGCTTTTTTAATTGTTTAAAAACCAAATAAATGCTTCACTTCTAGAAAACACGTGTCGCTTATGTCTCAGCCAGAGCTCCTCAATGATCAGCTCTTCCTCCAGCACAGGGACCTCAGGGCCCTGTGTGTGCAGCAGGGTACCTAGAGCCAGGCCCAGCATGGACACTTCCTTCCTCAGGCCTGATGAAGGCCCCCTCCACCCCCCTCGTGAAGGAGGACTGGGAACACCAGTGCACCTTCCCCACAAGGGAGCCATAAGCACCATGGATCAGCCCAGGCCCTCATGCCTCAGGTGACAAAGAGGGGGTGGCCATGAGCCTCCTGATGGCTAACACAGGGCTGTAGTGAGGGGCAGGAAAGGCCCACAGCAAGCTGGAAGATATGGGGCAGTGCTGGACCACACAGGACAGGACAGGCACTGGGCCCTCAGTCTTGGAAGGGCAGGAATGGAGGGGGCCAGGGAACACAGGCAGGATTGGGAGGAAGGTCAGACACAAATCTGCGTGGGAAGCATGCAGGCCTCACTCAGCAGGAGTCCTGGATGCTCTCCCCAGCTTGGAGCCTCACCTTCTCAGCTCAGACACCGGATCTGCTTTGAAGACTAGATGAATGAGACTGCAGACAGCAGCAGCCTAATGAGGCGGCTGAACTGGGCTGAAGTTGGGCCTCAGGGCTAAGAGGACTCGGGCCAGACAGGAGGCAGCCCTGGGGTGGGGAGATGCAGCTGCCTCCGTGTCCTCGGCCTGGGCTCACGTAAGCAGTGCCTGGAAGACGGCAATGACTGGGTCCTCGTGGGTGGTCACCACCAGCACACTGCGGAACTTGTCGAAGAGCATGAGCAGCTGGGAGCGCCTTGTGTTCTCATTGTACATGATCTCCTCTAGGTGGTGGCGGCCACGGAAGTACTGCAGGAGCCTGGAGGGGAAGGTGGCACAGGCCCAGGCTGACCTCTGTTCTAACAGCCAGTGAGCAGCCCACAGGCCAAAGCAGAGCTGGTGGGGGAGTCTCAGAGGCCCAGGGAGGCAACCACCCATGCCCCCCCCAACAGGGGCAGGCAAATGTCCTAGACCCATTGCCTACCATGGTTCCCCAAAGTGGGTCCTTGAGGACACATTACTGTTCAAACCCTGGAGCCCACCTGAGCCTGGAGGTTATACCCACCCTCAGCATTCTGACATGGGTGGGGACAGGGCAGGAGGAGTCTGTCAGAGGCTTCTTTTTCATGCTACCATGGCGGCGAGCCTCATGTGACTCTGGATCCACATGACACTGGGAGTGTCTGTGGCTGGGCTGGACCAGCTGCTTGAAAGAGCTGCCTGGCATGTGTTTCTTCACTGGGGGCTCAGTCCCTGACAGCCTGACCTCTTCTAGAAAACCACACACCTACACTGCCCCCCAAGCCAGGGGTGGGTGTGACAAAGTCTATGTCACTTATGATGTGGGGATCTAGAGCCCCCCACCCCCAGGCTGAGAGTCCTAGGAAAAGTCCCTGCCAAGCCCCATGAGGATGAGAATTTGCTGCTGCTTCCTAGGAGCGACAGGAAACACTCAGGAAGTACTGGAGAGACTCCCAAAGACAGAGGCACCAGACCTGGTGTCTCAGCATCAGACTGAACTCTTCACGCCTGGCACACACAGGTACCAGGTAGAGACACCCAAGGGCATGAGCCATCACCTCAACCAGTGAGAGCCATTTGTCATCAATGGATTTAAACTGGGGTTTGTTGGGTACATCCCCATCCTTCCTGTCCTGACCCTAGACTCGGACCCAGCCCCTCCGGTCACCCGCTCCCACCTGGCAAACATGCGGAGGTCCTCAGGGTTCTGGGCCGCAGGCACACTGAGGATGGCCGCGCGCTCGTGCTCAGACAGGCTGGCCAGCAGGTTCTCAGTCATCCTCTTGTTCAGCGGGGAGTCCCCACTGGGGAGAAGCTCTGTGCTGGAGTTGTCCATGCTGGGGCTAGTGAGCGTCATGTCGTCACTGCTGGCTATGGGTGGGCATGGGTCAGGGAGCAGTCGGCTCTCCAAGGACACCCCTCTCACCCGACATGGATGACAAATAACCGGGGTCAAGCCAGGTCCTCGCACTGAGCCTGAAGCCTGAGGCCAGGCCTCGGCCTGGAGAGGTGCTACCTGCAAAGCCTTCCAGCCCATCTTCTTCCACAAGCCCAGGGACTTGGGGCTTGGCATTGGGCTGCTGCCTTTGAGGGCATGGTATAGCCACACAAGGCACCATGGCAGTCATGTCTCCTCATGAGCTATGGGGCACAAAGGTTTCATGTCCTCCCAGTGATGGATGACATGGCAGGCTGGGGGCAGGCTGCCCCTGGCTTGAGCAAACCCCTGCTCAAGAGCCCAAAGATACAGCCTCCTCCCCAGAGCCACAGAGGTGTAGGGAAGTGGGGAGAAGGTCTCCTGTCCTCCTTTAAAGGAGGTTGTCGGCATGAGCACCCAGCTGTCCACATGAGAGGCACGTGTGTGTGCACTTGTGGCCATGCGATGGTCCCTCAGTCATTCCCAGCAGTGCCCTTGTTGGACCTCCTGGCCACCACTCCCAGGTGTTCCCCAGGTGCTCACCCCCACCCCACAACAGATGCCCTGGGCAGGGATTCCTACTTGGGGAGCCAAAGCTGAGGGCATTGGGTGTGCTGAGGCTGCGGCCGCTGACCCTGGTAGTGAAGGGGACCTCATCCTCGCGCAGGCGGGGCTCGTCCTGGCTGGGCGAGGCCATCAGGCAAACGTAGGTGTGCAGCTGGACCAAGAGCCTGTGCTGCAGCATCCACACCACCATCTGAATGAGCTGAGTCTGCAGGACAGGCAGTGTGAGGCCTGGGGCACTGGGGGAGGCTGGCCCTCTACCACCACCCTGTTCCCTTCCTGATAGGCTTGGGGAGCCATGGCCCAAGACCTGACCCCCACAAGTCTCCCTGGAGATCAGGGGGTGCATGAACTCCAGGGCCCTCAGGAAGGAGCCCTTGGCCGCCGGCTGGCTCTGCAAGCCTAAGCCCCGGGAAGGCAGCAAGGCCATATTTGCACTTGCTCCCACCACACACGGGCTGCCCTCATGTCGGGCCCCTCTTGCCCGGAGCTGAGGAGCAGGACCTGTGACATGGAGGCCCATGTGCCCTCATGGCTCTGAGCTTCCCCTTTGCTGCTGTGTCTCCTCTAGCCCACTGGGCCCTGCCACTTGAGCGCCACTGCCACGCAGAGCTGGGCCTGTGGAACCCACTCCCTGTGACACTGTTCAGAAAGGAGCTGTAACTGTCCTGAGACAGTTCAACACAAAAGCTTACCCAGGGACAGGGACCCTGCTGAGCTGTGCTGTCCCTAGGGCCTGGCACCCACCCCTCTCCCACAGGGCTAGCACCTGACTAGGAGCTGTGGGGAGCCCTGTAGGGCAGAGCTCCAGCACAGGTGAGCAGGAAAAGTCGTGCGGATGGTGTCCATGTTCTCAGACACACACATCCGCTTGCTCATCTTTGGGGGCTTCCTCTTGGGAGGACCTGACTACCAGGCACGGAAATAAGGGTGTATCATGGGCATGTATGATCTGGTCAAACCAAATAAAACTGAAAAAGATTGCAAAATTAAATTAAGAAATAAAACAGAGGCTCCATAAGCACTGAAGAGCATATTCCAGGCCTGAAGCAGGAGGGGTGAGAGGCAGGCAGCTCCCTCTGGGACTGTGCAGAACTGAATCCAGCTCTATCTGGGCCCCCTGACAAGGCATGAGGCTGCCCCTCGGGCATGGACTGAGAAATCCACCCACTTCCAGACCATCAGGAAGTTTCTGCTGGGGAGGGGGAGGGTGCAGATGCAAAATGTGTCTTTCTTTCAGCTGGCATGACCTGGCACAGTTCCTGGAGACCAAAGGCTCCATGAAAGACGGCATTTAGAACTCTGTCTCACTCAGCATGTAAATGAACTGGGAACCAGGATTGCCTTCTCATTCACAATTTGACAAAGGAAAGGGCTTGCTTCTAAAAACTGGTTTTGCCTAACAGATCTGTTGCTTATTAAAGCAAATACTTTACTTTTGAAGATAAAGCCTTGAGAACACCCGGCCCCATCTCTGACACCTGTCCCATCTGGCCCTGCAGTGGCTTCCTGCCCAGAGCCCTAGGCGTTCAGTGGAGGGGAGGATCCAGGCCACACTCAACCCTGCCACAGACACAGACAGAACTCACCCGTCCATTCCGCACACCTCACACCTCCTGGAGCCCCCCACCCACCTCTCACCCTGACCCAGATCTACCGAGTGGGTCCTATCCTGGGCCTATCCTCTCCAGGTCCTCTTGGATGAGATTCTGGGTACCAGTGAGCCTAGACCAAGTGACCACCTGGACCACGAGGGGCAGGGCAAAGGAGGGCAGGGCCCAGGCTCTGTGCAAAAAACACCGCTGCACCCTCCATCTGTGGGACCCAGGCCCAGAAGGGGGCACCAAGTAGCTCCACCCTCCTAGAAAAGATCAAGACTCTCCTGACTGGCCCTCTTAATGTGGTTTTAACACTAACAACAACCCACTGCAGCCAGGGTGGGCTCCATGGGGACATGGGGGTGAGAGGGAGTTGTGACTACCCAAGTGTTGGGTCACTGGCCAAGCATTTGCAAGTGGCCTGGCTGGGGAGCCAGCTTTGCATTACCCTGGTAGGACATGTACCACCTACACAACAAGGCCCATCCCATCCCCCCAACCAAAGCTAAAGGTACAGCAGTAATGAGGGCCCTTAGATCTGGAACCAACACTGGGTAGGTGGTTCATGGGCTCCCCCAGCTCTTGCAACTCACCTCTTGCACAGGGGGGGCGAGGGGGTTCCTAAATTCTGACAAGGAGACAGGCAAGGAGAACTTAGCAAGGACAGATGGCAGGTCATGAGACGGGAACTGGTGGGAGAACTGCTCGGCCAGTGGGGAGTACCTGGGGAGGTGAGGCAAGTGTGTCCGTGAGCCCAGCGACCTCCCCATCATGATTCACAGCACTCGTGCCCTTGCCGTGAGCCTGTGGTGAGCAGCAGGGAAGTGCAGCATGTGGGCAGGTAGGATAGGTGTAATGAGGACAGAGCCTAGCTGCTTTCCCTCAAGGGGTGGCAGAAGCCATGGGCAAAGGCCACCCTACAGGCCCTCTGAGCTCCCGAATCACAGCCAAGGCTCCTGACCTCCCACCAGGACACCCCAGAGCTCACTGGCTGTAGACATGGCAGGTGTAGGCCCTTCCTGGAGGCTGCAGGTGCCGGAGGAGCACAGGCCCAGAGAGGGCCACAGGTGCTAAACCAGGCCAGAACTGGAAGCTGGGCACGGCAGAGGCCAGACATCTGGTCCAAGTGAAGTCCTGGCTGACCTAGGGAGCACCGCCTGGAAGGCCCTGCCAGCCACACCCCCTTCCCATTCAGGAGCCCAGGGCTCTGGCAGCCAGAGGTACTCACAGACACACGCTGGCGTGGGGAGAAAGCATGTAGACGTTATTTTCACACAGCGGGTAGATAATGATGGCCTTGCCCCAGTACACCAGGTGAGCTGCAAGCTGGAAAACCTGCAGGCAGAGGGGGCTGCCAAGACCATGCCTGGGAAGCTGACTTTCTGAGGCTTCTTCCCTGACTACCTGACCTTTCCAAGGATGCTGGGCACAGCCAGCACACACAGCATTTTCTGTGTTCAGAGCAATAAGCCTTTTTATCACGGGTCCCTGTGCGGTTTGGGACTGTCATTTCCCATTAGGACCCTGTACTGTCCTGGCTGACACTGAGGAAAGGTGCCATGACCACAGGGACATTTGGGACACCCGGGAACATGGGGTAAGCTCAACTGAGCAAGGGGCTTGGCTAGACATCCTGGCAGAGGCTGGCTCCCCACCCCCACCAGGACTCCAGCATGGGGATGGATGTCATGGACATGACAATGGACATGCCCTCTACTCGACACAATCATTCCTATGTGTCCCAGTGTCCTGGAGAACATCCTACTGCCTTGCTCTCCTGAACTCTTGGACATCAAGATGAGCCACAAACAGACCAAGATGCCAGAAACCCTTCCAGTCTCACAAGGGGAAAGAACACGGCACTTCCTCACTTCATGGAAAGAAAGACACTGAGCATTTCTGATTCTGCATCACCCTGGGTGAGCACTGTCCCAGGCAGGCCTGCTGCCCCTCTTCACCATCACTGAGTGCCTCTGACGGGGTGAGTCACCCCTACTTGCCTGCAATGCCTGAAACAGTGCCAAGGACACCTCTACCTTATTTTGGCACATGGGACCTCCAGTGGCACCACCAAGTTGAACACAACAGAAATTTCAGTTCCATCACTGACCCTCTTCTCTTGTATCCCACGCCCCACTGACATTTACTCTAAAGCAAGGACATGCCTGCTTTCCTTCACCTTTGCCACCACCCTCACAGAGTGGTCTCCCCCTCCCGCCTGCAGTCAGAGCACTATCCTGGAGTCCAGAAGTCTAACATCACTATCACATGGCTGGAGTCAAGGTGTTGGCAGGGCAGCTCTCTGCAGGCTCTCTCCAGAACTGTCCTCTGCCTCTGCTAGCTGCAGCACTTCTTGGCATGTGGCCACATCACAGTCACATCCCCGCCTCCTCCATTATAGTCGAATTTTCCTCTTATAAGGGCCCTTGTGACAACACTGAGACCACCCAGATAATGCAGGACCACTTCACCATTACAAGATCCTTAACCTTAAGACCCTTAATCACATCTGCAAAGTCCCACACAAAGTCACCTTCATAGATCCTGAGAGTTAGGACATGGTCTTGTGTGTATTGTTCAGCCGATCACAGGTAATGTACAGTGTGAGCCTAACTCTGTTATTAAAATATAATGTGTTGCTCAGCCAGTGTGGCTCAGTGGTTGAGCGTCAACCCATGCACCAAGAGGTCGCCAGCTCGATTCCTGGTCAGGGCACACACCCAGGTTGTGGGCCAAATCCCCAGTGGAGGGCACGCAGGAGGTGGCCAATTGATGTTCTCTCTCATCAATGTTTTCTCTCTCTCTTCCTGCCTCTCTAAAACCAATAAAGAAACAAAAATTTTTTTAAATTAAAAAAAAAAAAGTGTTAACTTATAAGAAAAACCTGGAGGAATCTACAGTGGTTATATCTGGGATATGGGATTGTGGGGACTTTCTCTTTTTGTGTCTATAATTTGTGTGCTATTTGAACTTTATAAGAAAGAACATATTAATTCTATCATGACAAAAATAAACCCCAACACATTTACTTGATTTACAAGAATCATGGGTTCAATTCCTGGTCAAGGGCATGTGCCTGGGTTACAGGTTCAATCCCCGGTCCTGGTCGTGCAGGAGGTAACCAATCAATATGTCTCTCCCACATCAACGTTTCTCTCTCTCTCTTCCTCCCTCCCTTCCACTCTATCTAAGAATCAATGAAAACAAATCCTCAGGTGAGGATTAACAAAAATATATAAATAAATAAATTAAATCATCTGGGGACAGTCACCCCTGATGCTGACATGGGATCTCCACTGGAAGCTGGAGTCCTAGAGGTTGATGAGGTCCACTACTAGGGCTGGGCCTCAGGGAGCTTCCGTACAGCCAGTGTGCAAGGAAACAGTCTCCCCATGGCAAGGCCGGGGCAGGAAGCAAAGGAGACATCATCAAAGCTTTGTCTTTGTCCATAGAGATTGACAGCAAGGGTGAGGCACAGCATCCAGACAGACTCCATGTTGGGCAGCCTCAATGGACAGTGAAGGTCAGCATCTTTCAAAGCTTGAGATCAGAGCTGCAAAGACTGGCAGGTATCTGCCACTTAGCCAGTACTGGTCAGAACACAAACCCTGCGGTACATACAGAACAGTGAGTACACATAAGGTTCTGTGGATGCTATGAAGGCAAGCAGGACATGGTCCTCACTAGGGCCCATATGAAGCACCAAGGCAGAATCCAATAAACGTTCTCACCCCCATGCTAGAGACCTGGTGGGAGTGGGGAGCCAACCTCTACCATGATGTCCAGCCAAGCTCCTTGCTCAGGTCATAAAGTAGAGGATGGAAGGCCTTATTCTGGATGACAGAATCCCAAATGACTGCTTTGGGAAAAAACAGCCTGAGTCAGGCCTTGTTGGACAAGTTTCCCTGATGCCTCTCAAGGGCCCAGAAGGGCCTGTGCTCCTCCTCCTTAGCCTAGCCTGAGAAACCTGCCACCCATTGGCCTTTGCAGGAACCACATGTCCCTGAGCAGGTCCTACTGCCCTCTGGTGGCCACATGGTGCCCACTGTCACAGGAACCTGAGATGTCCCTGCCCCTGGCCTGCACTTTCTCCCTGTGCTTTTTCTCACCCCCTGACCTCTGACTTGGCTCCAACCAGATCCACAGCCAGGGCTGAGGAGCCCTACATCCAATCAGAAAGGACAGACCAGAAGCACATGACTCAGCCAGAGGGTGGCACCTCGCACAGAACACACACTCACCCACACACGGGGAGTGGTCAAGGCCATGAGTTTAGGTCCCGGCTCTGTGCCTCTGCTTCAGCCCTGCAAGCAACCCTGCCCTGGCATCCCATCCTCCCAGCACCCAGGGCCTCACTCCTCTCTGCTGCAGCCTCACCACCCTCAAAGGAGGAAGTCAGTCTTGCAGCTAGTTCATAAGCCAGCCCTGAATCCAGGTCTGACTCAGATTCCAGAAGCTCCAACCAACCCCAGAACCACCTATCACTGGCTCTCATCTGGACAGAGGCAGTCTGCTTTCCTGACACCCAGCACCCCTCATCTTCAACCAAGGGTTGCCTGCTTTGTTGTGCCTAGCCCCTCCTCCTACCCATCCTTCCCTATCCAGGTTGTCTCCCCAGAACCCCATAGCAATACCTGCAGCAAGGCCAGGTCTGCATCCTGGGCCAGCTGTTGCAGGTTCTTCACGGCAGACGTGGTCTTGATCACACGTACCAGGGCTGGGGAGCAGTCGAGCGGGAGCTCACCCAGCAAGGACTTCTCGTCGCTGAGCAGCAGCAGGGCATGGTACGGGCTGTGGAGCAGAGTCAGGACAGTAGGACATGTGAGACACAGATCCCTTGCACCAGGTATGCCCCTGGAACACAAAGGTGCTGCTGGGGCCCATAGGTAATGAACCTCAGAGAGGAGAGACCACAGGAGGAATTAGAGTCAAGGGCAGTGGTCCATACAAGGCCTTTTAAATATCTGCAAGGATTACTGCCATTGTCAGAAATAAAAGCCCTGGCTGGTATGGCTCAGCAGTTAGAGAGTCGGCCCGCGGAACAGACAGTCCTGGGTTCGGTTCCCGCTAAGGGCATGTATCTTGGTTGCAGTTTGTCCCTGGCTCCAGTTGGGGTTGGGTGGGTGGCAACCACTCGATGTGTCTCTCCTCACATTGATGTTTCTCTCTCTCTCTTCCTCCCTTTCTCCCTCCTGCTCTGTCTGAAGATAAGTGCAAAAGTGACCTCGAGTGAGGAGAGAGAGAGAGAGAAAGAAAAAGAAACAGAGAAACAAAGAAAGAAAAAAAGAAACAAAGAGCGAGAGCGAGAGCAAGAAAGAAAGAAAGAAAGAAAGAAAGAAAGAAAGAAAGAAAGAAAGAAAGAAAGAAAGAAAGAAAGAAAGAAAGAAAGAAAGAAAGAAAATTAGCCTGGCCAGTATGGCTCAGTGGTTGAGCATCCACCCATGCACCAAGAGGTAATCAGTTCGATTCCTGGTCAGAGCACATGCCCAGGTTGTGGGCCTGATCCCCAGTGGGGGGCATGCAGAGGTGGCCAATCAATGTTCTCTCTCATCGATGTTTCTATCTCTGTCTCCCTCTCCCTTCCTCTCTCTCTCAAATCAATAAAGAAAAAAATATTAAAAATAAATAAAAAATTAGAACAGAAATGAGAAAGGTCTGACAACCAGACTCCATCTCCCACCTCTGGGATTGCCCCACAAACATTTGTTGACTGAAAATATAAATGAATCTTTCCTAAGAAAAAGAGTCCCGCCCTGGCCGGTTTGGCTCAGCGGTTAGAGCATCGGCCTGCGGTCCTGAGAGACCCGGGTTTGGTTCCCGCTAAGGGCATGTACTTCGGTTGCAGTTTGTCCCCGGCCCTGGTTGGTCGTGCGGGTGGCAGCCACTCGATGTGTCCCTTCACATCGATGTTTCTCTCTCTCTCTCTTCCTCTCTCTCCCTCCCGCTCTATCTGAACAAAAAATGAAAAAATGTCCTCGGGTGAGGATAAAAAAAAGAAAAGAAAAAGAGTCCCAAATATGGGGGAAAAAATTGCTGCTAAGACTATGAATAGAACTACATAAAAATATGCTTGGCAAGGAAGCCAGGAGGAAAGACATTGACTTAGAGCACAGATTGGGGGAGGGAGAGAATGAGGCAGTGCTTTGCTTTCTTTCATCTTCAAATTTTCTGTAATATGCCCAGATTTTTTTTTTTTTTTTTTTAGTTAAAAAATATTTAAGGAAATTGGGGACTTGGTTGGGGGCTGGGGCAGGAGGAGATTGGGCTCAGCTCTTTACTTTCAGGAAATCAGCTGAATTAAGAAACAGAGATCCTGCAAGTTTAGATTCATATGCAAGAGAAACCAGTGAGCAACACCATGACAACATCTCTCTGGTGGTATGTTTTCTCGCCAGGATGCTCGAACCCACAGTACCCAGGACTAAGGTTAGGACCACAGCATAGAACTCCACTCACCTAGTCAGTGCTCAAAGGGCTTAGGAAAAACCTGGGGCTGGTCATTTCTATACAAAACCAGACACAAAAACATGTGTTTTTACTTCTAGAAACAGGAGACCCTATCTGCCAATTTCTGTGGCAGGAAGAGGAAAAGAATGTTTGGAACAAAGTAACTGGTGGAACCTCAGGCAGAAGAGAAGGGGCCCTGTAGGGCGTGTGCATGGGGCTGGCACTTACCGAATGGCCTTCAGGCTCCGCTCGATGGCTTCAGGGGGAATGAGGCTCGCAGCAGCGTAGTGGATCTTGTGAGGCAGGCAGAAGCTCACCTCCAGCCAGCTGTTGATATGCAGCCGCACCACGCCAGACGTACACAAGCTGCAGGCAGCAGAAGCCATTACTATCAGTGCCATTATCCATTCACACAGCAACTTCTACCCAGACACAGAGATCACACAAAACCCTGCCTGAGGGTATTCTTCCAGTGCCCAGCTCCTGCTGGTAGGAGGAAACTACAAGTGGAGACCCCCAGAACAAGAAAGCATCTTTCCAGACCTCAGTACGTTAAAGAGAAGTATGCTTGGAACACACACACAAATTGTATTTCTGGCTAGGCCTGCACTCTTCTCCAGCCAGAGTGGGAGGGCTCAAAGGAGGCCTCTTGTATCTGTCTCAGCGGCTCAATGCACCAGGGGTGTTCCAATGACTCTTCCTGCACCCCTGATGAAGGCCTCATCACAGGGGAGCCGCCAGGCAGAGGAAAAGGTGGAGGATGCCAATTCCCTAGGACATCCTGTCAGGGAGGAACACAAGGCGCCCCCTCCCTGCAGATGCCAGCAGCACCCCAGGTGCACCACAGCAACTACTGAAACCAGCTTCAGTGATGGCGATCTGGTTCTTTCAGGCCCAAACCTTGCTCAGACCAAACACGGCAACTCTGTCCCTGACTGTTCTCACAACCCACCTCAAACCGTTAGCAAATCTTGTCTGCACCACCTGCAGGGACCTACCAAGTCCAGACCTCAGCACTGACCCCTCTATCTGCCCTCTCCCAAAGATCCATGTCTTCCACCTCGGCAGTCCCGCCAACACCCCAAAATGCCAGCTGCCCCGCATGATCTGCCGTTTCTCTGACCTTGTTTCCTACCCCAGGTTGGCCCAGCTACACCAGCCACCCTGCTGTTCTTAGGGCCCTTGTACTTGCCCTTGACATCTCCCTCCAGGTGCCCTAGAACTCGTCCTCTTTCAGGTTTCAACTCAAGTGCCACTTTCTCAGTGAGGTGACCCTGACATAGGCCACTACCCATAGGCAATCCGATGGCTCACTGTTCACATACCTGGAGCACTTGACCACAGGACGCACCTACTGGTCTGCTAGTTAATGCTGCTTCCTTGACCAGAATTCAGTCATGAGGTGGGGCCCTGTGTTTTGTTCACTGCTCACAGCATGGTTGGCTCAGTGTGGGATACTTGAGGGGCATCTCATAAATGGGAGGAAGGAAAGGGGCCAAAGGAAGGCGCTTCCTGCTCTGGTGGACTATCTCTCAGGAAGCCCTGCCCAGAGAACAAGCCCTGGTGGCTCCATGTGGCCCCGTACTCCCTGCACTGGGGAATAACACACAAAGGGGTTACTTCCAGCAGAAGCTTCTAAAACTCCCCAACAAAGAAGCCAGCCTGACCTCCAACCCACAGCCTGGCGGCTCAGCCCCTGTGCTAAGTACTGACAGCACCTGGTGTCTGACGTGAAGGAGAAGCAACTGCTTGAGCACAGTCCCCATAACTGATCCTCGCTGTGCCCCCAGCAGGTGAATGAGAGGGCAGCTGTGTCCACTGTGAAAGCCTGGCCTGCCCTCACCCAGCTAGTGTTAAATGGTACTCTTTCCATCACATTCCAACCCTGAAATACTATTCCCAATTGGCTGGATGGCCCAAGACGCCCACATCCGGCCGAGTGTGGGGCAGACCAGTGGCTTGGGGAGGCTTGGTGGGAGCTGCTGCTTCGCCCAGGTCCCAGACCTCTCCTGCGGGCAAACAAGAGCTCGAAGCTGAGAAGCAGCTCTATGGCCCTCACTCCCCACAGCCACAGGTTGTTCTTCCAGTCTCTGCCCTAAAGCCTCAAGCAATAGACCAACAACTCCAAGCCTCTCCCCACAGGTTCACCAGAGGGCTGGCAGAATCTGTGGTCAGCAGTTCCAAATGCAAAAATAAGTCTTTATTCTCTCAAGCAGGGACTGGGTAATGGGGAGAGAAAACAGTGGGAAGAACACAGAGCATCTGTCACCTCAGCTACTCCTAGGATTCCTACCACCACCGACCATTTGCTCACTGCAAACTGCCCCACAGCTCCCTCTGCCCAACCTGACTCAAAGGCACGGGAGCACCCACGCTGCTCTCCCGGACCTCAATGCCACCAACGAGTATCCCTGGCTGCAGAGGTTGAGGGCTGCAGGCTGTGGCTGAGTCTGGAAGGTAAAGCTGCTGGTGCTATAGCCCCACAGGGTAAAACCTATCAACAGGTCTGATGAGTGTCACAATTTGGGGAAGAGACATAGGGTCTTTCCCCAATGTCCCAGAGGAAGATCCCACTCTCAGCTTCTTCCAGAACCGAGTGCTTGCTTTAAGCAAGTACATCTGAGCAGATGAAGGTTCCTATAGTCTTGCCCTTCCTTGGTTGAAGGTCTCTGCTGGATAGACATCAAACCCTGAGAATAGCCCAGCCTCTTAAGAAATCAAAGGTCGCACCATGAGAGTTGCCCAGAGGACTCAGGTTAGACACTCTACTTCATTAAGTGAGCAACATATGCTCTCAGCATCCATATACAGAAGAGAAGGATGAGGAAAACCAGGGCTATAGGGAGAATGAAATGACCAGGCTCCTCTTCTGTTTCACTTTTGTTGTTGTTGTTGTTGTTGTTTTTAGACAGAGAGGAAAAGAGAGGGAGAAAACAGAGAGAAACATCGATGTGAGAGAGAGAAACATCGATCAGGCTGCCTCCTGCATGCCCCCTACTGGAGATCGAGCCCACAACCTGGGCATGTGCCCTGACTGGGAATTGAACCTGCAACCTTTCGGTACACAAGAGGACACAAAACCGAGCCACACCAGCCAGGGCTGCTGTTTCACTTTATACCTGGTCAGAAAAGACTGGTCAATTGAAAATAAAGATCTTTCTGTTTTTGAGTTGTCCTTTTTAGTATATGGCTGAGTAGCTATCTGAACACCACAGAATCAGAATTAAACAAAGATTCCTATCTTTTTTAAGGTAGCTGGTTTTGATCTATCCAGGTGTCCAGCAATGCCACACGCAAGTTGCTAAGATACACAATGAGACTCCAAGCACTGATTCAGGCTCCTGGGTAAAACTTACAGCCCTACCCTTGAGGGCTCTGACTCAGTGGTGTTGAGGAAGTAAATGGTATGGAACATAAGAAGCTGAAGAGAGCTGCAGGAAAAGGGACAAGCAGAAGAGAGTGCAGGGTATACATGGGGAGCAGGTGTTTGGGGCTTGGGATGGGTCTCATGGAGAGACAACAGCAAGTGCCTGATCTGGGTGTCAGGGAAATGAATTAGGCCATATAGCAACTCCATGTGTCAGCCATCCCCAGAGCCCTGGCCATACCGTCTGGTGTACAATGGCAGGAGGTCCTCTTCTCGGGGAGAAGGGGGCACATCCACATTGACTTCCTGGTTTCCATGTGGATGTTACTCCATTTTTCCAAGCATTTGCTCACCTGCCAGCAACCTCCTCCCCTGGAACATTCTGCACTGATGCTGGTGCCTCTACAAAGTGTGGAGACCCTGAATGCCACCCCCAGCACCAGCTGCAGACCCTAGAATCCCTAGAAAACCCTAGAACGAGTCAGGAGGCAGGCGGAGCACCCTCAACCTCCCAGAGAAGCCCTGTAAACCCCCCACATCCAGAGGTGAGCTAGGAATTGTACTGAAATCTGTCAAGAGGAAGAAGAGAAAGGTTTGTGCCTGTTTGCAAAGTAGTTTTATTTTGTTTTGTTTGTACAGTACAGTTTTAAGACATGACTAGCAGAGTAGGGATTTTGGCCCTGAAAGGTTCCTTCTAAGCTTATACTTCTCTTTGTAGGGCAGCTGATGTTTTGATCTGGAAACACTGTAGGAAAAACGCTGCCCTATGTGAGTCTTATCCAGCACCTCACACAGCTCTGGGCCAGAAGGGAGAGCCAAGCCCTGTCTGCGACGAGAGATATATGCATGGTCCCGCCAGAGCCCCATCCTGCAGCGATGACTATGCATGAGGTTATGCACCAGCCTAAAATATGTCCTTATCTTTCACCCTCCAGATAGCAATGTGTACAAGCTTATTCCATTACCCTCAGATCTCAGCATCTGAGAAAGAATTTCAGTTCCTAACCTTTGCTGATAACTGAAACATCCTGTGTCACTCTTCTTCCTGCCCTAGACCAGAGACCTTCAAAGCAGCCCTGCACCCTCTGGTCCCTTTGGTCTCATGCAGCCAGGCTTCCTACTACCCACGGTGGGACACCGCACCCGATCCAAGAGGTCTGGGTGGGCTCTAAAAGGTCCAACTTGAAATTTCAAACAGAAGTTTTTATGTAGGTACACTTTATGGAAATAGGGACTAAAACTCCCAGGATATCTGTGGCGGTGTCTGTGGGCCCATATCTGCTCTGGACAGGCAGCAGTGGGTGACAGTGAGGAGCAGGCACAGAGTCCCCAGTGAACCTACCACCACTTGTTGATTCAGGCCCTGGACAGCCTCCTGGACCCCACCATAGTCCCTGCTAACTATGAAGAACCAGTCAACAAACAGTTCTTCAAGCTCCAGGGAATTCACGTCGACGTGACTCTTATTTCCTCTTCGTTTTCATGCTAGTGAACGAGCTGTGCTTCTCCACACACCGAGCACAGGGCTGTGTCATGAACAGTAAAGGGATATCTCTGACCTTGTAGGAGATACAACCTGACAGTCACACAAAAAAGTGGGATGCTATCACTGAGGTCACCAAGGTCCACAGGGAGACAGAGGTGCTAGAACAGTCAGGGGCTTCTGGAGGGATTCATACTGCCAGCCCACATTCACGGACACTTAGGTCTTTGGAAAAGCAGCCATCAGGCCACTCAGCCGTACGATAGCCCTGGATTTTAATTAAAACACTAAACTCAGCCCTGGCCAGTTTGGCTCAGCGGTTAGAGCGTCGGCCTGCGGACTGGAGAGTCCCAGGTTTGGTTCCCACTAAGGTCACGTACCTCAGTTGCAGTTAGTCCCCAGCCCCGGTTGGGATCATGTGGGTGGCAACCACTCCATGTGACTCTCTCGCATCGATGTTTCTCTCTCTCTCTCTTCCTCCCTTTCTCCTTCCCACTCTATCTGAAAGATGAATGTAAAAATGTCCTCGGATGAGGATAAAAAAACAAAAACAAAAGAAAACCACCAAACTCAGAACAATTCCTTTGAAAAGTCCCACCCCATTCTCCAACACTGCTCAGTCCCACTGCTTCCTGTCTCTCATTTCTGCTGAGAAAACCTTTCCCAGGGATCTGTCAGGAAATTACCATCTGTATTCTATGCTGCCTCATCAGTAATAGAAACTCAGTCTCCCTTTTTTAGTTCCAAGCCATCCTGCAGGAGCGGGGGCAGGCCAGGCCAGACCCTCAAGGCCAACACAGGCCTGGTGGAACACGGTCAGAGGGAAGGCCACAGGCCAGGGAGGTTCCTGGTGGTCGCAGAGCCACTGCTGTTGCCAGGCTGGGACAGGTACAGGGGTGGAAACAACCGCCCTTGGCTTCTCTGGGGCCAGGCCCAGGACCAAGACCAGTCAGGGTGGGGTCTAGGAACAGGGTGAGTTGGGGGTTTACCTGGAGGAAATTCGATCCCTGGCACTAACACAATAGAACACGTGGTTAGAGGAAGAAAGCTAAGGGCTTGACAGTGGATCCTGGGAGCTGTTTTTGCCAAAAACCGTCCCTGTCCTTCTCCTTTAAACTGATGCCCACTAGGGGGCACTAGCTGCCTCAGGCTCTGAGCTACAGCAGGCCCTCAGAGGTACAATCCAGGATCTCATCCCTCCAGCATTCCAGCCCAGTTCAAACCTAAGAAATCACAGTCCATTCTTTCTTTAGAAATATAAAGTCTGTTTCTGGTTTTCATTTTATTTTATTTCAGGTTAGCCTGAATTTTACTGTAGTCTAATCCTAGATGAGACCATTTCTTGGCCTTTGGGCTAAAATCATGCATAATCCTAGTTGAGACACGCAAATTCCCACTTAGAGTAAGGCACAGGAGTTTCCGAGAAAGGGATTTCTTTCTCTTTTTTCTTTTTCTTAAATATGTTTTTTTTTTTTTTTTTTTAATTGATTCTAGAGAGAGAGGAAGGGAGAGGGAGAAAGAGAAACATTGATGAGAGAGAAACATAGATCGGCTATATGGGGCGATGCTCAACCAACTAAGCCACGTCAGCCAGGGCCAAAGAAGGGATTTTTGATACCAGTCAATTCAAGACCAGAGGGCAACAATTCTTTTACTGCAGAGAAAACTTCAACGTAATCACATTACATGGGCTAGAAAGACAGGGTTGGGCCAGGCCGGTGTGGCTCAGTGGTTGAGCATTGACCCATGCACCAAGAGGTCACCGGTTTGACTCCTAGTCAGGGCACATGCCCAGGTTGTGGGCCCAATCCCCGGTGGAGGGCACGCAGGAGGCAGCCAATCGATGTTCTCTCTCATTGATGTTTCTATCTCTCTCTCTCCCCCTCTCCCTTCCTCTTTCTAAAATCAATAAAGAAAAAATATTAAAAAGAAAAGAAAGACAGGGTTGGACTAGAAGACCAAAGTTCCCATTCTGGGTCAAGTTCTCCAGAGTAGGAGGGACCAGAAATCAAAACCATCAGTCAGCAAGAGTTGTTTCAGGCTGCCCTGATGTTCTCTAACGCCCAGAAACCACATCCAGAGGTCACCAAAATAAAGACAAAGGAAACACAAGCTGCCCTCACAAAGGCAACTCTCCCTGCTTTATAAAGGCACCTACCCCCACCCCCAACAGAAAAACAAGCAAGGGATCTGAGCAGAGAGCTAACAGAAAAGAGAACAGGGATGGTTTAAACATGTGAAGATACGCATAAGCTATACTGAGACACCATGCTCTACCCATTACATTAGTTAATTGCTGTGCCGACAGGAATCTCATGTGTTGCTGATGGGAATGTAGAGGTACAAGCCCTGCAGAGGGAAATGCATTTTACCTATTTGGCCTAGCAATTCCACTTTTAGGAACTTACATTAGGGATATGTGGGTACACATGTAAAATCACATGTGCATATGGTTGAGCAGCATGCCTTATAGCAGCAGAAGGTGAAACCAACTAAATGCCCAAGGGAGGGGGCTGGCTGACTATGCAGCAAAAAAAGAAAAAGTCCTTATTTACCAGGACTGGCAGAAGTCTAAGTTATGCTGTTAAACTGAGAAGGAAACAGGCTAACTGGATGCACAGTGTGCCACCACTACGTAAAAGGGAGAAAGTGGCCCTGGCCGGTTTGGCTCAGCGGTTAGAGCGTCGACCTGCGGTCCTGAGAGACCTGGGTTCGGTTCCCGCTAAGGGCGCGTACCTCGGTTGCAGTTTGTCCCCGGCCCTGGTCGGTTGTGTGGGTGGCAGCCACTCGATGTGTTCCTTTCACGTCGATGTTTCTCTCTCTCTCTCTGTTCCTCTCTCTGCCCCCCACTCTACCTGAACGAAGAATGGAAAAATGTCCTCGGGTGAGGATAAAAAAAAAAAAAAAAGGGAGAAAGTGGACCTGTGCGCACCTTCAACCCACCTGAGAGGAAGGGTACACGACAGGTGGCTGCATGCCGAAATGAGGCCTGCACCAGGATGAGGACCTGCTGGGAGTGCAGCCGAGAACAACGCAACACTCTAATTTTCAGATTGAATATGTGCCCTTTTCAAAAACTCAAGTTAGCCCTGGCCAGTCTGGCTCAGCGGTTAGAGTGTCGGTCCGCAGACCAGAGAGTCCCTGGTTCAGTTCCCACTAAGGCTAAGTACCTCGGTTGCGGTTTGTCCCCAGCCCCGGTTGGGGTCGTGTGGGTGGCAACCACTCGATGTGTCTCTCTCACATTGGTGTTTCTCTCTCTCTCTCTTCCTTCCCTCCTGCTCTATCTGAAATAAATAAAATAAAAATAAATAAAAATGTTCAGAAACTCAAGTTAAAAAAAAAAGAAAATTGTTCATAGTGATCACTGGATATGAAGTTATAGATGACTTATTTTCTTTATACTTGTCTGTATTTCCTAAATGTTTATAATGTTAGTAAAATCATAAAAAAATAACATGAAAAAAAGGAAAGGATCCTGAACAAACCACTGTCTCTGGATTTAGATGACACGTGGTGTCTCCGGCCACAATTCTGGAGCTGGACCATCTGCAGGGGGAGAAGAGTCACAGGAATGGAGTGGAGCCTGGAAAGGCCAGGAGGGGGCACTGAGCTGCACACGCTAGCAAAGGGGAATGTGGAAGAGTAAGAGAATGAGGGAGGAAAAAAAGGCAGAAAGAGGCGATGGGACCAGAATGCACTGAAGAAGCCTGCTGTCTGCCTGGTGCTGTGTGGTGCCCTATGAAGCAATGGGCCAGGTGCAGGGCAGGAAAGGCAAAACTGCCAGGTGGGCTGTCACTTGGGCACCTGTCTCCACCAATCCCACCAACCCCTCGCTGCAGACCCAGGGCCAGAGTCACAAGGCTATCCTTTAAAAAAAAAATAAGTTCTTTGCTTGTCCACGTTTAAGAGAGTAGGTGCGGAGCCACAAATATAATCAAAACTGTGAGGGTTCTGCCGTCTCCAACACCTGCTGCACTCCTACAATTAGTGTCATAAACCACCAAGTCCCCCAGGGCAGGGAGGAACATGGCCCACCTCAGCTCCATCCTCTGAGCCTCAGTTTCCTCATGGGTGAAACGGTGACAGTGACACTCACCCAATAAAGGTGGACCCAGAACTTGGCACTGCGTCAGGCTCAGTAAAATCAACTTGCATTTGAGAACTCAAAAGCACTTTCAGGTACTTATGCATAACTTCAGGTTCATTTTCTGGTTTAAGAGAAGTCTGGAGATGACTGTTTTAGCCAGGCACACCAAAAGGGTTGGCACTTCAGCCCTCTCTCACCCCCGTTTCAGGAGAACAGCACCCAGCTAAGGGAGTCCCATCTTCAGACACCACTCAGGCAATAAGGCCCACAAGGAGAAGGAAGTACATGGAGCATGTGTTGCTAGTCTGTCTTACCTGTCATATGCTTCCTTGAGGTCCCTGGCCAGCTTGCACTTGGGCAAAATGTGATGGAATGGGGACTGAGGACCATCATTTGCTGCAAGAATTGTAACACAGAAGGATTTAGAATCTCCAAAGCAAGGAAACTCACATGGGCTAGAATAGAAAATACCTTTAAAAACGAGTTTAACTTAAAAATAATTTTAAGTAACTTTAAACCAAACAGCAGATATTCATAACTGATTCTTTTTTAAAAAAAATTTTATTGATTTTTAGAGAGAGGAAGGGAGAGGGAGAGAGAGAAACATTGATATGAGAGGACATCAACTGGTTGCCTCCTGCACGCCCCCTATCAGGGATCAAGCCCAAAACCTGAGCATGTGCCCTGACCAGGAATCGAACTGGCAACCTTTCAGTGCATGGGACAATGCCCAACCAACTGAGCCACACCAGCCAGGGCTCACAACTGCTTCTAATAAAACGTTTGCATCCCACTGAATTAAAATTATACTTAGTCTGATATGTTCAACTGTCTACTTGTGAAATATTTGTATCTAAGCTTTAGCACTGGACCCACCTGACCCTGTAGTCACAGGTCTCACAGGAACAAACCATTTCATTGGCTGCTCCTGAAGACTCCCACCTCAGACAACCAGAGCCAGCTTCTGCCTCAGCGACCATGTAACGCCATGCCTCATCCCACTTTCCCCCATATTTATGCTGTTATTTATTTTGATGAAAGTCTTTTTCATTAATTCTTTCTCATAAATGTCTAACATAAATATATGTACTAAATTGAATTTTTAAATTCCTGATAAAGTCACAGACTCTAAAGAAAATGTTTTAAAAGATAAAACTTCACTGTCAAACATAAAAAGTAAATTTTTACTGAAAATGCACCTGAGGGGGGCAGTTCATGGGTGGTAATCACTACTTTTACTTACTGCTAAAACTAGACTGGGTTTACCTTCCAATGTGCTCCTAGTTTTCTCTTGTGTTAGAGAGGTGTTGTCCTGAGAAGATGGATGTGGAGGTTTGTTATAGGTAGGGAGCTCTCTGCACTTTGAAATGTTTACAGTATGCAAAAATCACGTGGTAAAATCACAAAAATCACAGCAAAAATTATTTTTACTAGTTTGCCAATTGATAACTCCATTAAGGTCCTCCTTCAATTTAGTCGAAAGCCAAGAGCTGGAAAGCACCCACCCTGCCAGCTCAGTATCCTCGCTGGCCCCTCTGCATGTCCTCTACCCAGGGAAGCATGTCCAGCAGCACCAGGACCGGCAGGCAGTGCCTGACCTGCATGAAAAGCCATCATGCAGCATCTGTGGGGGTGGAGAACGTTTTGGGCTAAGAAATCAATTTCAGCTCGTCAGTTCAGCAAAGTGGGTTCAGCGATGCCACCAGGGAGTCTTCCTTTGCCCCTGGGGCACACTCAGTCCAGGGCGAAGATCATGGAACCTCTAAGTACCTCAGTTTCCATATCCGCAAAGCTGGATTAGTGTCCTGCCTGGAAATGCTGCCTGCTCTGTGGTGTTGGGGTAGGAGAGACTCCAGCTGCACTCACCATCGGCCACAGCGGACACCTCGTCCTGCAGCGCGAGGATCAGCTTGGCCTCCCGAGTGAGGTACTGGCAGCGGCGCTCCTCGTGCTGCAGCACGGTGGCAATGCGTCGGGAAAGGTTGTGCAGGCAGTTGATCACCGACGGGTCTGCGTTGGCCTGTGGGAGAGGCCACACACAACTCTAATGCAGCATATGTACTCAGGACACATACAAAGCAAAAACTCAAACCATGAAAGAATCCTCCTCTACTCTTTCCCCAGGCCCCATTCCAGATGCCACTGCCGTTGCCAGTTTCCTGTGTCCCCTCTAGGGGCCATCCACAAACACCAGTCCTCTCAGCATCCTATCTTGGGCATAGTTGCCTGGATGGCAGTACAGAGATGGCTCTGTGGGGTCACCTAGTGTGGGGGGTGGGGAACCAGGCATTTCTAACAAGTAGAGAAAGGCTCCCATGCTGCATGCAGGGCACCACACCAGGGCCATTCAGGAAGGCAGGGCACAGATCAGGCATCCACTCTGGGCCTGGCAGAGGCAGCCAGTGGAAGGTGCAGATCTCTCCAACCACCCTGGGTTTGACCCTGGGTCACAGGCTTCCATCCGAGAAGGGATAACAGTAGCACCTCGCTCACCAATTAGTCAGAAATGTCAGTGCTCAGACCAAAGCCTACCCAGAGCAAAATCCCTAACAGTGTCTGCAGTCACTAGTGTACTGTTGACTGCTGGTGGACCAGACTAGCTATGGAAAAATTCAGTCACACAGCCCCTCTTATAGGGACACACAGCACAATAAACAAAAGCACCAGGTTAATTATTCATTGAACATTTTCTGTTCTCAAGGTTAAGTAGCTCTTTCCAGCAGAAATGACCCTGGCTAACAGGAGAAGCCAGCAGGCTCCAGCCACTCCCCTCCCAGAGCTCCCTCCACGCCCCTGTATTAACTCAGGAAACTATCAGGGGCCGCAGTCGGGCCAGGCCACGGGTGGAGCAGGTGGCTGTGGGGTCTGTGAAGATGCTCCTTGGAGAAGATAACTGGCCAACCATGACTCAGTGCTTCAGGAGGCCCACAGGATAGCTGAGTCATCCTATGGGGTGGAGGTGAGAAACAGAAGAGGGACAAATGGTGCCACTGATTAGAACCTCTGGTGCTGCCTCCCTCTCCAGTTTATCTGCCCGAACAGTATCCACAGTAAACACCTTCATCACCTGGAGCTGGAGAGATTTTCTAAACTCCTAGCAGATCTCATGTTCACAAACAAAACTCACACTTGGCAGCATTCCTGTGCTGGGAAGAGAACCAAAGGTTGCTCCCATGCTATGCCCCCCAGTGGGCAGCAGCCCTGCCCCTTCATGTCAAGGGCATTCCCTCAAGTGTCCCCTGCAAGATTACAAAACTGTAAGGTCTGGGTTATAGGGTATATATACACAATGGCCTCACCACTTTCAGAAGAATCTATGTGAAAATACTACCATAACAGAGGTAGGAGAATGATCCTGGGCACATGATTATTCCCTTGAGGAAGTAATCAAGTCATACCTGAGAACCCGACCCTCTGCTAGAGGTCGCACTGCCTGGGGCATGACAGTGTTGTCAGATGCTCAGGGCCTGTCTGTTCCACCTTCCCAGATCTGCAAGGTGGGTGCTCACCCAGGTGCAGCCCAATGACCAGCACTGACAGAGTGTGCCAGGGTGTCCTGTTTGGCTGTACCACCAGGCACTGTTCAAGGTACAACGGAGCCTGAGGCTGTGTAGCCACAATGAGAGAGCTACCTAGGATGGGCCAGCCCTGAGTGGGAGGTCTCAGAAATGCCAAACTTTCCCCACACATGATGTGAGACAGCACGAAGTTGAGGGCATCACTTGTGAGACTTTCTTGTTCCCAGAACTCATACCCAAATGTAATCAAGCATTCAGAGCTAACTTCCAGTTAGCAGGACATATAGGGACAAGAGAGCAGCAAGTCTGACTGCACAATGAGAGGAGTCCAAACAGAACACCTGGCGGGACAAAGGGTGGGACACAGGGAGGAGAGTCCTAGACTGGCAGAGATCTACAGACACAACACCACACGCTTATATAGGCTGGGTCTTCGTCCCGGTTCAGACAAGCCAACTGGCAAAACTGCCGCGGCAATTGGGGAAACTTGCAATGGACCAGGTACTAGTGGATACCAACTTATCGCGAATTTTCTCAGTTATGAAAAGGGTATTCTGGTATAAAATAAATGTCCATATTTTTATAGAGATGCCTTCTGAGGTATGTAGGAGTGAAGAGACATAAAGTCTCAGACTTATCTCAAAATACCTAAGTGACAAGGTGGGTGAGAGGTAGATGGAGCCAAGGTGTAAAAGCAATAGTTGTGGGCTCTCAGAGACAGGAGCATAGGTTTATTAAACTATTGTCACTAGTTTGAGGTTTAAAACTTTTTGAAATAAAAAAAAAAGTATAACTTTTATATGACTACTAAAAAGAAAAAAAAGCCCTGGCTGGTTTGGCTCAGCGGTTAGAGCGTCGGCCTGCGGTCCGGAGAGACCTGGGTTCGGTTCCCGCTAAGGGCACGTACTTCGGTTGCAGTTTGTCCCCAGCCCTGGTTGGTCGTGCAGGTGGCAGCCACTCGATGTGTCCCTTCACGTCGATGTTTCTCTCTCTCTCTCTCCCTCCCACTCTATCTGTACAAAAAATGGAAAAATATCCTCGGGTGAGGATTAAAAAAATAAATAAATAAATAAATAAAAAGAAGAAAAAAAAAGTGTCTACCTTAAAATACCAACTCTTTACATTATTTAAAATTCCTCCCACTCTCCAACATTATGGCCCATGCTATCTGAAATCCTATACCATCTGTTTCCCTCTGCTTTTACCTGGCAGCTATCTATACTCCCCCAGGCTCTGGTATCATTCCCATTTCTCATCTTCAATAGCCACAAACATGCCAGTGTATAATAACCACCACCTTTTCCCATCATTCCTCAACTACTGGATACCAGAATTCTTTCCAGCCTAACTAGTATAATAAAAATCTTTACACAACTTTAAAATATGCCTTGTTTGCTTGACTGCTGTTCATTCTGCTATCAACACACTGCCCAGAGAGGAGAGCCTGCCTGCAACATCTTGGGTGGGGCTGGGGCTGCTTCTACTGCCCATCCCACAGGAACTATTGATGTTGACAGGTAAACAGCATTCATCATGGGGTTTGTTTGCTTGCTTTTTAAACTTAATTTGAGTTCTCTTTGTGGATATTTTTGTATTGTGTAATTATAAAAGTAATACAAGGATACTGTGGAGATGCAAACACTACCCAAGTGTATAAAATAGGAAGTAAAGGTCTCTTGGAATCTCATGCCCCAGCCACTAACAAGTCATTTTGTTCTACCTTGTAGTTCCTTATCTATCAACAAGATATGCCAGTTTTTAATTTTATTTTTTTTAATCCTCACCCAAAAATATTTTTCCATTGATTTTTTAGGTAGAGTAGGAAGGAAAAGGGGAGGGGGGGAGAGAGAGAGAGAGAGATTTTTTTTTAATCCTCACCCAAGGACATTTTTGCATTTATCTTCAGATAGAGCAGGAGGGGGAAAGAGAGAGAAACATCAGTGTAAGAGGGACACATCAACTGGTCGCCACCCACACAACCCCAACCGGGGCCAGGAAAAACCGCAACCGGGGCCAGGACAAACCGCAACCAAGGTACGTGCCCTTCGCGGGAACTGAACCTGGGTCTCTCTGGTCCACGGGCCAATGCTCTAACCGCTGAGGCAAACCAACCAAAGATAGAGAGAGAGATTGATATGAGAGAAACAACGATTGGTTGCCTCCCGCAAGACCCCAATGGGGGCCAGGGGTTGAACCCACAACCCAGTTATGTGCCCTTGATGGGAATCAAACCCGAGACTCTTTGGTCTGCAGGCCAACACTCTAACCACTGAGAAAACTGGCCAGGGCAAGGTATGCTAGTTTTTAAAATTAAGCTCCAGCCCTGGCCAGTTTTGCTCTGTGGTTAGAGTGTCTTCCCCTAGACTGAAGGGTTGAGTATTTGATTCCCGTCAAGGGCACATACCTAGGTTGTAAGTTCGACCTCCGGCCCGGTTAGGGTTGTCCAAGAAGCAAACAATCGATGTGTCTCTCTCACATCAATGGTTCTCTCTTTCCCTCCCTTCCATTCTCTCTAAAAATCAATGGAAAAATATCCCTGGGTGAGGATTAACAAACATTTTTTTTTGGTACGTGCCCCTAGCGGGAACCGAACCCAGGACTCTCTGGTCCACAGGCTCCAATCGCTGAGCCAAACCGGCCAGGGCTTAACAAACATTTTTCAAAATTAAATTAAATTAAGCTCCATTCTAATGCATTATTTATTTTGAACTGTTCAGAGTGAGACCTGCAGTCTCTACACCAAAAATGCCACCTTTCTACTCAGTCTCATTTCTGCCACTCTGAAGGTTTTCAGAACACACCCCGTTCCTTGTCACTGAAATCCTGTCACTTTCTCACTCATATTTCTGCACAAAAGCCGTTGTGCAGATCACATGCCCAGACAGAAAGAACTACTAGGCTCTTTGGCAAAAACTGATACTGGGATATTTCAGAGGAATGCCATTATTTAATAGTCACTGAATATAAATATCCTAGGTATTCCAAAGTCCCTTCATAATATAAGCCAGTCTTTACCGAGGGGTATTTTTTATATTTATTTGAATCCCTTATATTTTTACAACTTTACTGAAAAGGAATTTCCTGACTAGTAAAAACACAACTTCAGACAACACTGAGAACTGCTTTAAGAACAATTAAACTTATTTTTTTTTAAATGGAAAATAACAAGTATTGTCAGTATATAAACAAATTGGAACCACTGTGCACTGTGGTGGGAATGTAAAATGTTGCAGCCGCTACGGAGAAGTTTGGCAGTTCCTCAAATGGTTAAACACATCATAGGACCCAGCAATTGCACTCCAAGGTATATACCCAAGGAAAATCAAACCGTGTAAACACAAAAATTTGTATACAAATGTCCTTAACAGCAAAGGTCATCAACAGATGAATAGATAAACAAAGTGTGGTCTACCCATACAATGGAATACAATTTGACCATAAAAAGGAATAAAATACTGATATACATAACAAGGGATAATCTCAAAATCACTATTCTCAGTGAAAGAAGCCAGACACCAAAGGTCACATATTGTAGGATCCCATTCATATGAAACAGGTAAATCCAGAGATATAAAGCAGACTGGTGGTTTCTGGGGGCTAGGAGAAGGTGGGGGGAGAGAAGGGAATCACTGAGCTCCTTTTAGGATAAGGGAAACATTCTGAAAATAGATAATGGTGATGGTTACATAAAGTGTTACTTGAGGCCACCAAACTTTATACTTTAAAATAGTTAAAATGGCAAATTTTATGTTACCTGTATTTTAGTTTTTAAAAAAGAGAGAAAGGAAGACAGTGAGAGGAGACCAGTACCATGCCTACACTGCAGTCTAAGCTGAGTCAATAACACACTCACCGGATATGAGCTGCTGTTACTCCCCTGACCCTCCTCCCTGATCTGCCCATGCTCTTCAGCCATTTATAAACACTCACCCTCAGTGCAAATACCACATTAAAAAGAATCATGGTGGGAGCTTCCCTCTTCGGAGATGGGTCTGTTTTGGAGACCTGTAAAAGAGGTATAATTTTAATGAATGAGAGCCACCACTTCCCAAGAAGAGTTGTTTAGAGCTATTCTACTTTAGGCCTGGGAAAAGGTTCCAGAATATAGCAGAACCAAAAGAAAACAGCCCCAGGGTCTTGGGGAAGTGATCAGTGCCTTTGCACAAGCTAGTGGTGGCTCCATGGAGAGATGAGTCACCATTGAGATAATAGGAAGGTCAGTGCTTTGACCCAATGTGATGAGGCTGCCCCAGGCAATGGAAGTGAGCTGAAGTGCCCAGAGGAGACAAAAAGAGAGAGGGCTCAAGCAGAGGGAGTGCTCCCTGCCCAAACATCCCCCCACTGCCATCCTCAGTGTCCATATGAGTTCTCCAGGCTATCTCTGCCAGGCATGGTAAGTACTCAGGATGATTAAGAGACAGGACATTGCTCAGAGCCAGCAGAAACAGGGGTGCAGCTCTGGCATCCAGTCACTAACACCAAGCTGATTACAAGCGATGCCACCAGGGGGCGTAAGAGGCCAGAGCTCCAGTTCTAGGCCATCCCAACTGGCTCACCATCCTGCCTATTACTTCAGTTTTGTAGGCCCATGACTGCTGTCAGGCTGCCAAATCTCCCCTCCATCACCTACAGGGCATAATTAAGGACTAATCCCCATCTGCAGTGGTTTCAGTGAGGAAGGAGGGTGCTGTCCATAGGGCCAGGTGCACCCAGCCATGGCCTTATGTCTTGGCACCCTCCAACCATTTCAGAAGCTCTTTTCATGGGCTCGGTCATGGAGAAGATTTGAGGCTTACATCACAGACCCTCATATTTCTGGATCATATAAACGGAGCTAAATCTCATACTGCCACATCAAAAGCCTTCAGAATCTGAGTGCTGCTGTCGCTGATTCTGTCTGTGTGCAAAGGACTGGCTGGAAGGTTCTGGTGTGTAAATTCCCTTGGGTCACAGTACATTCAATCTTGTAAAACTCCCCAGTACTGTAACATTTCATTCATCAGAGAATGTATATAAAGGGTTTATCACAATAGTAAGAGCTAAATTAATAATATTGGCTATGATATCACTTAATAAGTAAGAAATGCTTATACCACTTAAAAGCGAGGAGCAGGGACTGAAACTCTGGGGGACAAGGATGCCTGTCTCTTTCTTCAAGGGACCCTCAGGGCCTATGAGGACATGCAGTTGACAGCTAGGAGCTGGTCAGGTGTGCTGCCCAGTGGCTGCCTTTACCAGAGCAAGTGTCAGCCACAGTCCCCTGAGGGCCCCAGATCAGGACAGGCCATGCCTACCTATGGAGAGCCTGATCTGCTCAGGGAGGTCCTTACCTGCCCCAGTGCATGCTGTAGGAGTGTTGGGTGCCCCACAAAACGTACGTTATCGATCTTCAGTTCAAATTTTTGGCCACACATTTCAGACTTGGTTGCCAAAATTGTTGCCAGAATGACATCTGAAAACCTTAAAATTAAAGAGAGGCAGAGTGGAAATAAGTGAACAAAGTGTGACAGCCCCACACCAGCTGCCCTCAGAGGGTAAGGGTCTCAGTATATGGCAGCTTTGTGTACAAAATGGTTTGACCCCCACTGATGACCTGGAAGCTTCTATCAGTTGCCTTCGGAAGCAATCCCCAAGATTTGGGACATACAATCACCAAAATTACAAGGCAAAAGGCATGAGAAGCAAAGACTGAAGGCACATGCTGTCAATTTCTTGGCATGCTCTATGAAATTCAGGAGAGAAACAAGTTGCAGTTTGCTTTTAAAGGGAGGAACAATAGCTGAAGCTGGCGCTTCCCTGAGGAGCTGCTCATTAAGGCTCTACCACCAGGTTCAGGTTTCCCAGGCTGCACCTCTCAACCCCCAGGAACCCTCAACCCCTCAGTGCTGTGTAAAAGGCAAGGGCACAGTACTAATTGCAGCATGCCAATTACCTTGCTCAGTATAGCTTCCTGGCCCTTCCCTTATCCTGAACACTTACACCTTCCAATTTTTATTAAGGAAGAAACTTTTAAGATGTGCAAGACACGCAGACCCACTGATATGATATGAACATAGGATGCCCAGGACTGGATGCCATGGAGTAGGGATGGCTGTGGTGCAGGTGAGAGCAGATTTGGATACGAGTTTACCTCTTTGTAAGGTGCATCTGTATATTTATGTTTTCTTAGTGGCAACCCTATTCCTTCCTGCCCAGGGGGATCCAGATAAGAGAGAGTCATCAGACGGAGGAGAGTGCTGTGGGGCACAGTGCAGACTCTTATCTCAGAGCCCAGGCTTGGGGCGGGGAGCCTCCACTTCAGAAACACTAATGTACCATATCTGAGCTGGAGCCAGATGAGAGACAAGTCCTATGCTCTGTTCTCCACCCAGGGAAAGCATTTCTAGCACCCAGGTTGGGAGGGCACATTGTGTTGGGGAAAGTGGCTCCAACTCCCCCAGGTCCATGCTATCTCTGCCTATCATCCTAGAGACCATCAAAACAGACACTCCAGTGTGGGTCTTGGGCCTTTGCTGAGAAGCTATAGTGAATCAGGCACCTTACCAGATGCTTTTCTCCAGGAGGAACTCATGTGGGGGGAGGGGAGCAACTAACACCATACCTCCCCATTTTCTAAAGAAAAAAGGTCTGCTACAAACTGCTGCTTCAGCTGAACTCTGAAATGAGAAATGACTCTGGAATAAAAAGATCCAGGAAGGAGGCCATTTGCTCTGGACTCCTTACACATGGCAGGGCTCACCACCTAATGTAAGAGTGACCTGAGCCCTGGCCAGGTAGCTCAGTTGGTTAGAGCATCATCCCGATATGTCAGGTTACATCCACCATCAGGGCACATACAAGAAATAACCAATGAATGTAAAATAAGAGGAATAACGAATCAATGTTTTAAACCTCTCTCTCCCTCTAAAAATCAATCAATAAAAAATTTTTTTAAAAGTGACTTAGAGGTGCCCTGGCCAGTTTGGCTCAGCGGTTAGAGCTTTGGCCTGCGGTCCAGAAAGACCTGGGTTCAGTTCCCGCTAAGGGCACGTACCTCAGTTGCAGTTTGTCCCCTGCCCCGGTTGGGGTCGTGCGGGAGGCAGCCACTTGATGTGTCCCTTTCACATTGATGTTTCTCTCCCTCTCCCTCTCTCTTCCTCCCACTCTACCTGAACAAAAACGAAAAAATGTGCTCGGGTGAGGATAAAAAAAAAAAGTGACTTGGAGGTAGCCTGCAGCAGGAACCTTGCTGATCAACCAGCACTCAGGCAAACTGCAAGACAAGCAGCTAGGGGATTCTTTCCAAGTCTCTCCCCCACAGATGGGAGGAGAGCCTAGAACTGCTAAGCCCTTGGAGAGGGAGGGTGTCACACCGGTTTCCAGCCTTCTCCAGGACTGACATGGTCCTCTAGGCATCCTAGGTTGCCTTGTGGCCCCCAGACAAACCAGACGCAGAGAGTTTCCCTCTTGCATCATCAGCCCTTTCAACACCACGGTTGTCAGAGACAGTCTGGGAAACATGGGACCCACAGCCTATGTCCTTAGACGCCTATTGTGGGTCTCTCCTCTCTTCCCTGGAATACTGCTTTCCGGAGTGATTAAACCAGAGATGAAAGATTGCAGAGTCTTATACCAGAGGCATTATATGCTTCCTTCAAAAACTCTAAATTGCTCACTCTGCCTTATAACTCCAGTCTGAGGGACATGGTGGTGGTGAGGGTTCAGGGTGATAAACCCAAACACTTCTGCCCTAACGACTGATCCAGTACCAATATTTCACATCATATCTGAACAAATAGCTCCTCCACTCTGCCACCCAGGGACACAGAGATAAGGTATAGAAAAAAAACCTCCCACTACTCCAGAAAGTTCACTTCTTCCTGTGATATCCAAATACCTCCATTAAGAAACCTCTGCTTTGTCATCAAGACCCACAAACAAGCCTCAGCCCTGGCCCTCAGCCACCAGTTTAGAAACCTAATTTAGTCTGGCTGTGGTCCTGAGATTCAGAAGAAAGCAGTGGTGGTCTACTGATTATCTAGAAATATCCAAATCCAAAAGCACCCTTCCAAGAGCCAAATAAGAAGTGCTTCCCTCCAAGACCAGAGAGGCCAGGGTCTGCAAAAGGAACCAACTGGAAATTCATGTGCTATTGAAGTTAAAAGCCACAATGCCATTGTGGCCAGTGTTGCTCAGCAGTTAGAATGTCGGCCCACACAACTAAGGATCATGGGTTCGATTCCCAATCAAGGGCACGTACCTGGGTTGCAGGTTCAATCCCCGGCCCTAGTCAGGGCATGTGCGGGAGGCAACCAATGGATGTGCCTGTCTTTCTCACATTGATGTTTCTGTTCTTCTCTCTCCCATTCCCTCCCTTCCTTCCTTTCACCTTCTCTAAAAATCAATGGGAAAAATACCCTCGGGTGAGAATTAACAGCAGCAACAAAAAGCCACACTGCCCTATGTGGCCATTCAGGGAGGACCTCTGTGGCAGCCAGCAGGATGATGCTTGTCTGAGAAAGTCTGGTCCACATAGAAATCCACACACCACTGCAATATTAACACTTACGATAAAAAAAACGAAAACAAAACACCTGAGTGGCTTTATACGTTATATAGTGTGTCTGCTGACATAACATACACAAAGGCACAGAGTTATATCATGAGATTTGGGGGGTAGGGGAAATAACTGTTTTAAATAGCAAATTGAAACAAAAATAAGTGACAATATTTGTTGTTTCCAAAATTAATAAAAATTATTTTCCTTTGTTTTGGTGGTAAAAAGTCTGGTAAATTATATTGCACACAATAAAATAGCTGTTACAAAAAAACTAACATTCCTGGAATAACTTAAAAATAAAAACAAACAAATAAACAACACATACACATAGGAAAATGGCCAGCCCAGCTGGAAAACAGGCCAGGACCTTCCATGCCTTCTGAGACATTTGGGAGCAGGGCTTATTTTCTAGCTTTACCAAAAAAGGAGAGAGGGACAGCACGGAAGGGAGCTCGACTCTCCCCCTCCCATTATGGGGAGCTCAAAGATGCTCTGTGTACCTGCAATGCCTAGAAGGGATGCCCTGTCAAGGGGACAGGAGGGTCCCACCTTATTCATGCCCTCCTGGAGAAGTGCCTAATAAAGTCCATGGTATATTTTTGCCTCTAAGGGCACACACAATAGCATCTAAGTTCAAGCATTAGATTTAACACCCAGCCCTTGGGAAAGAGGCCCCCACTAGATCCCTCTGAGAAGTGAAGGCAAGGAGAAATAATCAGAACCTCGGGGTAAGGGGCAATAAGCTAGAGAGACAAGAAACCATGCTCCTGCTCACCTACCACCCTCACAGGGCCACTGGTGCCTGCCTAGAGGAGGAGGTCTGAGAGCATGCTTGGTCCCAAAAGTCTCCCTGGTGTCAGCCAACCTTGCCTAGGCCTCTTGGGTAATGTGAAATAGCTAAATAACTCCAAATGGAGAAAGGGCAGGGGCCGTGGGAAGCCTAGGCACTCGTGGGGGGGATCAGGGTAGTGCGGTCCGAGCAAGAGCCTGTGTGCCTCATTAGTCATTTTCAACATTGAGGGAAATCAGGAGTTAAGCACAATTACAAGAAGAGAAGGTAGCAGGAATCAAGACAGAAAGATGGTGGAGAAGTCTTGGTCTTACCCTGCAACCAATTGCTCATCGGTTAGAGGACATGGCTCGCTGAAATGGGAACAGGACCATCAAGACATTGATTTTAAAAATCATGAAAAGTTATAGTTGTTTTATTAAAACAGTATTAAAGTCTAGTAGAAGTACCACCATTAAGCATTAACTGTTGAGGTCAAGGCTATGCAACTTACCAGAAGAGAAAGGATCAGACACTCCCCAAGTTGAAGACTTACCACACACAGTTTTCTAACTAAAGCTATTTCTCTCATGTAAACATAGACTGGGCAAGAATTAGTCAGTTTCCAGAAGCAAGAGCAAGGGTGGAAGACGTGGGTCAGAGCCCAGCACCATATATTGGCAAAATGCCAATGCACAAGTATTTAATCTGACAAATCATCTCAACAGGTAAAAAGATCCCCATAGGTAAAAGCCTTATGAAAACCGTAAAATGCCATTGAATACTTCAGCTCCAATTCTTCAGATGCTATGACCACCGGCATAGCTGATCTCACGGAGCCTCTGCCCAGAACATGACTGTGGCCCCTTCAGCAGCAAAGCAGTTATGGCAGATCCGTATATACTTATGCTGGAAAATGTCTGAGACTTCTGCACTACACCCGAGCTTTTTTAGAAAATATATTTAGCCCTGGCCAATTTGGCTCAGTGGTTAGAGTGTCAGCCCTCGGACCAGAGAGACCCAGGTTCGGTTCCCGCTAAGGGCATGTACCTCGGTTGTAGTTTGTCCTTGGCCCTAGTTGGGATCGTGTGGGTGGCAACTAGTTGATGTGTCTCTCTCACATGGATGTTTCTCTCTTTCTCCCTCCCACTCTACCTGAAGATAAATGCAAAAATGTCCTCGGGTGAGGATAAAAAAAAAAAAAGAGTTTAAGTTCTTCTACAGAGGTCTGTGTCCTGGGACATGCTGCTTTCTGAGTTTCCTAGGAACAGAAAATAGACCTGAGCCCCACAGTGCAGAGCCCCACAGTGCAGACAGCATCAGAGGGGTAAGAGCCTGCCATGATGCCATGCCATGCCCACCAGGCTGCCCTGCTGGGAACTACTGCTCCCCACTGCTCTCACTGAGAAACACACATTGCCAAAGACCCATGCAAGAGAAACACACAATGAAAACCTTTTTGTTCAGCAGCCCCCAAACTTTAGCTCATCAGTCTGTACAGTAGTAAAGGGGTAAGATGTTTCATGGACTTTCCCAAGATCATTCAGAAAGTCAGAATCTGAAGAAGCTCATGCAACTCCTAAAACTTTATCTCCTACAACTAGACAGGTCACAAAATCCTTTAACTTTCAAAAGGGGAGAAGCACATGAGGATTCCAGGTGTCAGCAGTGTTCCATTTTCTTACTGGGGAGTGGTGGTGACATGTTCAACTCCACAATCATGTTTTATGGACTTGTGTCTGCTCCTGAGGGAGGCAGAGCCGTCAGTAAGTACTCTCACCTAGACGCAGATGTTCCCATGACATCTAGATTTGGGAGGGAGAGGCATCACTGTCTAAGGAGCATGCCCAAGATCATATACTGCAGGATGCAGAGTGAAAATCAGACCTGGAACCCTGAACCTGCACTTGTCCCAGCACACTGCCCTGCAGGAACATGCCAATAAGGACACCAGTGTGGACTAGGCTGGACCAGGAAAAGGGAAGAAATACCCACGCTTGGGACAACACTGCTTATCCACATTCTTGTGTATTGAGTAAACTCCAGCAAGTAGGGGCATCTTTCTAACATATCTCAACACATGTGACACATAGGCAAAGCTGTCAAAAGAGGCCCTGGTGGCCCTGGCCGGTTTGGCTCAGTGGTTACAGCGTCGGTCTGCGGTCCAGAGATACCCGGGGTTGGTTCCTGCTAAGGACATGTACCTTGGTTGCAGTTTGTCCCCGGCCCTGGTTGGGTCGTGCGGGTGGCAACCACTCGATGTGTCCCTTTCACATCGATGTTTCTCTCTTCCTCTCTCTCCCTCCCACTCTATCTGAATAAAAAACAAAAAAATGTCCTCGGGTGAGGATTAAAAAAAAAAAAAGAGGCCCTGGTGGAGTCCCATGTGCACCTGCTCTGGAGCACCTGCATGTGGTGTGCCAGTGTACACTATGGCTCACCTGGCTAAGGCCCTGTCCAGCATAGGGCATGACTGTGCCTGAAAGATGGACCCACTGCTTCACGAAAGGTAGCCAAGTCTGAGACAGGCAGCAATGCCAACTGATTCCATGCCCCTTGATACCAATGGAAAGATAGAGGGTAGAAGCAGAAACCTTTCAAAGCTCTGGGAAGACATCAGGATGATATCTAAAGTAAAATGATTTAGACTGTTTTGAAATGAAGTCAACTTTTCAAAGCCAAAAGCATCTCCTTCTCTGAGGCAGTAGCCAGAACACTGCTTGATATGGAGAGAGGAAGCCAGAAATAGCCACCCACACCAGGAGGGATTGGGCCAACAACAGACTTTCCAACAGATACCAGGCTTTCGTACCTCTCATGGCTTTGTCCCTGACAGTGTGGGGTGATTAAACCTGAGATGGAATTAAGCATGAACTCCCAGGCCCCTAAGACCCAATAAACAGCAACATTACAACTTTTCTAAACTTGAATTTCAAGCCTTAGAGACAACAGACAGAATCCCTCCCTTCCGAATTCTCGTAGGGTTTTTAAAAAGTGATAGTTAATTCTTACACCCTGAAACACATCATCTTAATGATTCACCTTGTAAAATTAGCCTACTCTAAGCCAGTGTTGTCCAACAGAACTTTCTACATTGACAGAAATACTCTAAATCTACACCATTCAATACAGTATCCACTAGTTACATGTGGCCACTGAGCACCTGAAATGTGGTGAGTGCAACTGAGGAAATAAGTTTTCAATTTTATTCAATTTCAATTCATTTCCATTAAAATGGCCACATTGGCCAGTGACTATAACAACGGGCAGCACAGCTGCGCACCCTCACTTCTCTAAGGCAGGCCACCCCACACTCACAAGTTACCCATGTGTCCTGTTAACACTGCTTCAATCTGGCCACCTGACAAGCAGGAACATTCTGCCGGTTCCATAAGAAAAGCACCCTTGAGAACGACACTCAAGGAAAACAAGGAATAAGTATGATGCACCTTCACCGCAGTACTCCAGGAAGATGTATGAGGCATGACAGGGTTCTCCCAGCTGCCAGGGGCAGAGCAGTAGCTGGCAGGCCTCTACGACAAAAGAAAGCTGGGACCCTTCCCTGGCCGGTTTGGCTCAGTGGTTAGAGCGTCGGCCTGTGGTCCAGAGAGAGCCGGGTTCAATTCCCACTAAGGGCACGTACCTCGGTTGCAGTTTGTCCCCGGCCCTGGTTGGATTGTGTGGGTGGCAGCCACTCAATGTGTCCTCTTCACATCGATGTCTCTCTCTCTCTCTCTCTCTCTCTCTCTCTCTCTCCCCCTCCCTCCCTCCCTCCCTCCCTCTCTCTCCCCCTCCCTCCCTCCCTCCCTCTCTCTCCCTCTCTGTATCTCTCTCCCTCCCGCTCTGCCTGAACAAAAAATGGAAAAATGTCCTCAAGTAAGGATAGAAAATAAAAAAGAAAGAAAGCTGGGACCCTAAGGGTGTTAACCTATATGTCTGAAAATGTGGAGGGTGGGGACTGGGATCATCAGATGCTATAATGTGCTAACAATTACCAAATGACATTAGCTCAAAGTCATTTTATTATAAGCCCCTGAAATTAACTGCCGGAATTATGTGCTCCTGACCCTCCTAAAAAAGACCTCCACACAGACCATTCCAAGAGCTCTTTCTGAGTCTTCACGTCCTGAGCCTGATCCTCACATCCATAGAGCTTGGAGAAAGAACGGTAGGCAGCTAACCAGTCCTATTCCAAACTAGTCTGTGGCACAGGTAGAAGGCAAAATGCACACACCCAGTGTGCAGAGGCAAAAAGCTTTCTGTGTGCCTGTAACAAGAGTTTGTTCCAAGTTGCCACTTTTATTCATTTATTATTATTATTTTTTATCCTCATCCGAGGACATCTTTTTTTGATATTTTGTTCAGATAGAGTGGGAGGGAGAGAGAGAGAAAAACATCGACATGAAAGGGACACATCGAGTGGTTGCCACCCACATGACCCAACCAGGGCCGGGGACAAACTGCAACCGAGGTACGTGCCCTTAGCAGGAACCGCACCCGGGTCTCTCCAGACCACAGGCCAAACCGGACAGGGCCTAGTTGCCACTTTTAAAAGACAAACCACCACTGGCCTGTACATCATGCAGAAGGACCCACTGAATGTCCAACAGCCCATATCCCCTTCCCCTCCTGCTGGTCCCTCTTCTAAAGCTTGTTCCCTTCAGAAACAGTCACTGGTCACGCCAGAGGCCCCTTATACCCTTACACACACAAAATAAAAACCATACCCTTGGAACTGCACAACACTATGGCAGCTGTGGTGCCTTGTTAGAGAACTGATGGGAACTGCATGAATAGTTTGCATGTCAAAGGCCCAGTGTGGGAACCTCGGCTACTTTCCGATGGGACTGTGGAGGCTAAGTCCTTTAGCTCACAAAGACCCCAGCTATGTTTAGGCCCTAACCAGAATAGGCAATTTACAATCTTTCCTCCTTCGTCTGCTGTGTTATCATTTACTAAGCTTTAAAATGAACAGAAGGCAGAAGTGGTCATTTCTCATGTTTGCTTGATAGCCCTTCCCACAGAGAACAAGGGGGAACACACAGGAAGGAACAAAACCCGCTTTTCATCTGTGTCCTAAAAGACCAAGGGTCAAATAAGCCCTGATTCTCAACCCACATCACCACCTGGACAGACTGTACCAAACCCAAGCACCTACATCTGACCTCTGGGCACGTGCCTGAGGAGTAAGGTCTATGGACAGCACTGGGGTCTGCTTTCCTCCATGGTCCCCTCACAAGAGATAAATGTCCTACAGAAATATGGCTTGATCTGTTCTCTGACCTACTTTACAGCCCACAGATGGAACACGTGACCAAATTCTGCAGCAAGCCAGAGACTGGCAAACCAAGCCCCAGCTCTGCACTACCCAAAACACCCACCAAATGGGAGAAAAGAACATCCAGTTTCTCAGAGTAAACATCTAGGTCAACAAGAGGTGGGGCTTTGCCCAGAAGTGGGGGCAGGACTAGCTCCATCATAGTGACTTCAGAGCCCTTACCTGGAGTCACCGTCCTGGTCCTCGGCATGATCTCCGGTGTTGTTGACAGCATATCTGCTACGAGGCTTATCTGAGTAAGGGCAAAAAGGAGACAAGGGCTAAGAAACCAGGATCCATCCACATACAGGAGGATTGTGGAGCCAGTAAAAGTGATGGTTTCTAAAATGTAGTATATACACACAATGGAATATTAATCGGCCATAAAAGGGAATGAAATTCTGACACATGCTACAATGTGGATAAACTTAAAAATATTATGCTAGTCCGGCCAGTGTGGCTCGGTGGTTGAGTATCAACCCATGCACCAAGAAGTCCCCGGTTCGATTCCTGGTCAGGGCACACACCCAGGTTGTGGGCCCCATCTCCAGTGAGGGGCAAGCAGGAGGTGGCCAATCGATGTTCGCTCTCATCAATGTTTCTATCTCTCTCTCCCTCTCACTTCCTCTCTAAAATCAATAAAGGGAAAAGAAGTTTTAATTAAAAAAAACACATGCTAAGAAAAGGAAACCAGACACAAAAGGACAAATACTGAACTTACTTAAATATCTACAATATCTACAAATTCACAGAGACAGAAAGTAAATTAGTGGTTACCAGAGGCCAAAGGCAGGAGAAATGGGGAATCATTGCTTGGTTACAAGTTTCAGCTTGAGGTAATGAAAAATTTTGGAAATAGTGGTGCTGGTTATACACTATGGTGAAATCAATTATGGTACATGTGATTAATGCCACTGAACTGTACACTCAAAATTTTTTTCAAAAAAAAAATTATGGTTTCCAAGAAGTTATAATAACATAGGAATGCTTTTGCTACTGTTAAGCTAGAAAAAAAAGGGAATATATATGTGTGTGTGTGTGTGTATTACATATTACACATACATCATCTCAGTATACAATGTCAAGTACGTTGGAAAAAAATGTCCTTCATATATGCAAACAACACTATTTTACCAGACCTATGGATGAACTTAAGTTCATCATGAGCTAGTTTATCATGTGCAAGAGGCCCACGAAGAAAATGGAAATGCTAATAAAGGATATAAGAATGAACAGAGCCTGGCCAGTATGGCTCAGTGGTTGAGTGTCAACCCATGCACCAAGAGGTCTCTGGTTCAATTCTCGGTCAGGGCACATGCCCAGGTTGTGGGCGAAATCCCCAGTGGGGGCATGTAGGAGGCGGCCAATTGATGTTCTCTCTCATTGATGTTTCTATCTCTCTCTCTCTCCCCTCTCCCTTCCTCTCTCTAAAAATCAATAAAGAAAAAAAAATAAAAATAAAAAAAATTCTCACCAATATAATCTCTCACCTATCTTATTAACAAAGATAGAAAAATCTGATCTATTAAAAATAACTATGCTCTTCCAGACAAAAAAAAGGTAAAGGAGTTCATCACCACCAAACCAGTATTACAAGAAATGTTAAAGGGCTTCTTTAAAGATAAAGGGGAGCCCTGGCCAGTTTGGCTCAGCAGTTAGAGTGTCCGCCTGTGGACCAAAGAGTCACAGGTTCGATTCCAGCCAAAGGCAAGTACCTCAGTTGCGGTTCGTCCCCAGCCCTGGTCAGGGTCCTATGGGAGACAGCCAATCAATGTGTCTCTCTCACATCGATGTTCCTTTTTCTCTCTTTCTCTCTCCCACTCTACCTGAAGATATTTAAAAAAATATCCTCGGGTGAAGATTAAAAAGAAGAAAGGGGAAAAAGAGAACATAAATATAAACAATAAAATGGCAATAACTACATACCTATCAATAATCATTTTAAATGTAAATGGATTAAATGCTCTAATCAAAAGACAGGGTAGCTGAATGGATAAGAAAATAAGACCCATACACAAGCTGTCCACAAGACACATATTTCAGATCAAAAGACAAACAGAAATTGAAAGTAAAGGGATGGAAAGATATTTCACACAAATAGAAGCAAAATAAAAGCTGGGATAGCAGTATTTAGACAAAATAGACTTTAAAAATTTTTTTTTATTGATTGATTTTAGAGAGGAAGAGGAAGGGAGAGAGAAATATTATTTTGTTGTTCCACTTACTTATGCATTCACTGGTTGCTTCTTGTATGTACCCTGACTGGGGTCGGAACCCACAACCTTGGCATTTCGGGATAAGGCTCTAACCAACTGAGCTACCAACCGGGTCTAAAATAGACTTTAAAACAAAGAAAGACATTTCATAATGATAAAGTGATCAATCCAACAAGAGAATATAACCCTTGTAAACATTTATGCACCCAACATAAAGCAAATATTAACAGACATAAAGAGAGATCAACAGTAATTCAGTCATAGTAGGGGACTCTAACACTCAGTACTGACATCAATGAATAGACCTTCCAGACAGAAAATCAACAAGGAAACAGCAGCCTTAAATGATACATTAAACCAGATGGATTTAATTGATATTTTGAGACCATTTCACCTCACTGCAGCAGAATATACATTATTTTCAAGTGTACATGGAACATTTTTCAGGATAGACCACATGTTAGGCCACAAAACAAGTCTCAATAAATTTAAGAAGAATAAAATCATATCAAGCATCTTCTCTGACCACAATGGTAAGAAACTAGAAATCAATTACAAGAGAAAAAAACACACACAAACACATAGAGGCTAAATAACATACTACTAAACAGTGAATGGGTTAACAATGAAATCAAGGAAGAAATTCAAAGATACCTTGAGACAAAATGAAAATGAAAATACAACAACCCAAAACCTATGGAACAGAGCAAAAGCAGAGGGAAAATTTGAAGTAATACAGGCCTACCTCAAAAAACAAGAAAACTCTCAAATAAACAATCTAACCTTACACCAGGTACTAGAAAAGGAGCAAAGCCCAAAGTGAGCAGAATTACAGAAATAATAAAGATCAGAATGGAAATAAGCAAAATGTAATTTAAAACAAACAAACAAAATCAATAAAACCAAGAATTGGTTCTTCGAAAAGATAAATAAAATTGATAAATCTTTAAGCAGACGCATCAAGAAAAAAAGGGAAAGGATCCAATAAAATCAGAACTGAAAGAGAAGAAGCTCATTTTATGAGGCCAGCATTACCCTGATTTCAAAACCAGACATTATAAAAAAAAAAAAAAAAAAAAAGATTATAGGCCAACATCCCTGGTGAACATAGATGCAAAATCGTCAAAAAAAAAAAAAAAAAAACTACCAAATTGGCCCCCAGCCGGGTAGCTCAGTTGGTTGGAGCGTCATCCTGTACACCAAAAAGGTTGCCAGTTTAATTCCTGGTCAGGGCACATACCTAGGTTGTGGGTTCTATCCCTGGTCTGGATGCATATGGGACACAATCAATTGATGTTTCTCTCTCTCTCGCCAAAATCAATAACATATATCCTTGGGTGAGGATTAAAAAAAAACAAAAAACTAGCAAACTGAATTCAGCAATACACTAAAAGATCATAAACCATAATCAAGTGATATTTATTCCTGGGGTGCAAGGTTGGTTCAATATCCACAAATCAATTAATGTGATATACCACATAAGCAAAATAAAACATAAAATCATATGATCATATCAATAGATGCAGAAAAAACATTTGACATAATCCAGCATCCATTTATGATAAACATTCTCAGCAAAGTGGGAACAGAAGGAACATACCTCAACATAGTAAGTCCATGACTTATTCCATATAATCCTAGAATGTATATGGAGCTACATATGACTTGGACTAGCCACAGCAATCTTAAAAAAGAAGAACAAACCTGGAAGTATCATATGTTACCTGATTTCAAACTATATTACAAGGCTATAGTAATCAAAATGACAAACCCACAGCTAACATCATACTCAATGAGGAAAAAATAAAAGCATTTCCCTTAAGATCAGAAACAAGACAAGGATGTCTGCTTTCACCACTTTTATTCAACATAGTATCTGAAGTCCTAGCACAGCAATCAGACATGAAAAAGAAATAAAAGGCATCCAAATAGGAAAGGAAGAAAATAAAACTGTCATTATTTGCAGATAGCATAATACTATATATGCAGAACCCTAAAAATTCTACCAAAAAATTCTAAGAACTGATCAATGAATTCAGTAAAATAGCAGGATACAAAATTAATATTCAGAAATAGGCTGCATTTTTATATACCAATAATGAACTATCAGAGACATTTAAAAATCAATCCCATTTACAACTACATCAAAAAAAGTAAAATACGTAGGAATAAATTTAACCAAAGAGGTAACAGATAGAAAAATTATAAGACGCTGAAGACAGAAATTGAAGAAGATACAAATAAATAAAAACATATACCGTACTCATGGATGGAAAAACTTAGCATCATTAAAATGTCCATACTACCCAAAGCAATCTATAGATTTAATGCAAACGCTTATCAAAATATCAATGGCATTTTTCACAGGACTAGAACAAATAATCCTAGAATTTATATGGAACCACATATGACCTGGACTAGCCACAGCAATCTTAAGAAAGAAGTACAGCCCAGCTGGTGTGGCTCAGTGGTTGGGCATCAACCTATGCACTGAGAGGTTGCTGGTTCAATTCCCAGTCAGGGCACGTGCCCAGATTGTGGGCCAAATCCCCAATGGGGGAATGTAGGAAGCAGCCAGTTGATGTTCTCTCTCATCGATGTTTCTGTCTTCCTCTCCCTCTCCCTTCCTCTCTCTCTAAAAATCAATAAAGAAAAAAAAAATTTTTTAATTAAAAAAATAAATAAAAGAAAGAAGTACAAACCTGAAAGTATCATGCTACCTGATTTCAAACTATATTACAAGGCTACAGTAATCAAAACAATATGGCAGTGGAGTAAAAAGAGACATATAGATCAATGGAATAAAATAGAGTCCAGAAATAAACCCACACCTATATGGTCGATTATTCTATGACAAAGGAGGCAAGAATATACAACAGAGCCCTGGCCAGTTTAGCTCAGCGATTAGAGCATCGGCCCAAGGACCAAAGGGTCTCAGGTTTGATTCCCGGTCAAGGGTACAGACCTGGGTTGCAGGTTTGATCCCCAGCCCTGGTCAGGGTCATGCAGGAGGCAACAAATCAATGTCTCACATCGATGTTTCTCTCTCTCTCTCTCTGTCTCCCCCTCCCCCACCTCCGCTCTATCTTAAAAAAAAAAAGAATACACATTGGGTAAAGACAGTCTATTCAATAAACGGTATGGTGAAATCTAGACAAATAAATGCAAAAAAATGAAACTAGACCACCTTCTTATACCATAAACAAAGATAAACTCAAAATGGATTAAAGACTTAAATGTAACACCCAAAACCATAAAACTCCAAGAACAAAACATAGGCAGTAAACTCTTTGACACTGTTCTCAGTAATATTTTTTTCTTTTTAGTATATCTCCTCAGAAAAGGGAAAAGAAAAACTAAACAAACGGAACTAGATCAAACTAAAACGTTTTGCACAACAAAGGAAACCATCAACAAAATGCAGACAACCTACAGATTGGGAGAAGATATTCACAAATGGTACATCCAATACGGGGTTAATATCCAAAATTTATAAAGAACTCATACAACTTAACACCAGAAAAACAAACAATTCCATTAAAAAATGGGCAGAGGCCCTGGCTGGTGTGGCTCAGTTGGCTGGGCATCATCCTGTGGACCAAGGAGTTGCCAATTCATTTCCCAGTCAGGGAACATGCCAGGGTTCCAGGCTTGATCCCCAGTGGGAGGCATGTAGGAGGCAACCTATCAATGCTTCTCTCATCAATGCTTCTCTTGCTCATCGATGCTTCTCTCTCTCTCTCTCTCTCCCTCCCTCTCCGTTCCTCTCTAAAAATCATTTTTAAAAATCTTAACAACAACAACAAACAAAAGGGCACAGGACCTAAACAGACATTTCTCCAAAGAGAACATACAGATTAGACATATGAAATCATCAGAGAAATACCAAGTAAAACCATAATAAGGTATCACCTCACACCTGTCAGTGGCTATCATGAATAAATCTACAAACAAGTGTTGGCAAGGATGTGGAGAAAAAGGAACCCTTGTGAACTGTTTGGAGGATTGCAAATTGATTCAGCCACTATGGAAAAGAGTATGAAGGTTCCTCAAAAAATTAAAAATAGAACTACCTTATGACCCAGCAATTCCACTTCTGAGTATCTGAAGATACCAAAGCACTAATTCAAAATGATATATGCTTCCTTATGTTCATTGCAGCATTATTTATAATAGCCATGATACGGAGGCAATCTAAGTGCCCATCAACAAATCATTAGATAAAAATATGGTACATATACACAACAGAATATTACTCAGCCATAAAAAAGAACGAGATCTTACCATTTGTGACAACATGAATGGACCTAGAGGATATTATGCTAAGTGAAATAAGTCAAAGAGAGAAAAAACAAATACCATATGATTTCACTTATCTAAAAAACAAAATAAACAGATTCATAGATACAAAGAACAAACTGATGGTTGCCAGAAGAAAGGGGGCAGGATGAAAAAGGTGAAGAGATTAAGAAGTACTAATTGGTAGTTATAGAATAGTCACAGGGATGCAAAGTACAGCATAGGGAATATATTCAATAATACTCTAGTAAGTATATATGGTATCAGGCGGTATTAGACTTACCAGGGGGATCAGTTAATAAATTATATAGATGTCTAACCATTATGCTGTACACCTGAGACTAATATAAAATAACATTGAGCCCCACCGGTGTGGTTGAGTATTAACCCATGCACCAAGAGGACCAGTTTGATTCCTGGTCAGGGTACATGCCCAGATTGTGGGCCTGATCCCCAGTGGGGGCCATGTAGGAGGTGGCCAATTGATGTTCTCTCTCATAGATGTTTCTCTCTCTCTCCCTCTCCTTTCCTCTCTCTCTCAAATCAATAAAGAAAAAATATCAAAATAATATTGAATGTCAACTGTAACTGACCAAAAAAAAGGAGAAAAATATATGCTCATTATCTCTTAGATTTAACCATCCCCCCTAGGAATTAATCCTATATCCAGCAAAATGATAACATATACAGAAAGGACATTCATACTGGTTATAGTGGCAGAAGATTGGAAACAACTTAAATGTCCATCAACAGAGGACTGGATAAATAAATCACAGTTATGTTCATCCCATGATTCTGATCATAATTCTGAAACTATATCCAAAATAGAAAATGAAAATGAAAACAACACACAAAGCAGAACTATGCCTACAATGTGTTCAATCACTTGCGGTTAGAAAAAGTAAAATAATACGTGCGCATGCTTTTATTTACACAGAAGATTCTAGAAAGAGACACAAGAAAATGGTAATAGCAGCTGCCCCTACAAGGAGAAATGGGTGCCTGGGAAGGGTCAATGGTGGGAAAGAACTTTCTTTTCATAATCTAAATCCCTCTGTACAACATTAACACATTTTAAAATAATTTTTTTTTTTTTTTTATAGAGTGGGAGGGAGAGAGAGGAAGGGAGAGAGAGAGAGAAACATCGACGTGAAGGGACACATCGAGTGGCTGCCAACCGCACGACCAACCAGGGCCAGGGACAAACTGCAACCGAAGTACGTGCCCTTAGCGGGAACCGAACCCGGGTCTCTCCGGACCGCAGGTCGACGCTCTAACCGCTGAGCCAAACCGGCCAGGGCTAAAATAATTTTAAAACAAAATATAAATTACAAACAACATTCATGATAGTGAAAAGCTGCAAGTAACCTAAATGTCCATCCACAGCAACTGTATGCTACAACTAAGAGTGAGAGTGATCTCTGTTTACTAAATCACAAAGTACTCCAAGGCTGTCCAATGGAAAAAAACTGTTCAATGGGTAAAAGAGCTACTGCAGAACAATACATTTACGTGAGGCACCAGTGGAGAACTGGGGATAGGTAGTCAAAGAAAACTTCAGATGGATGTATAAAATTTCATATTTTTTCTAAGCTGAACACATTTATATGTCCAAAAAATAACAATTAATGGAGCCATTTTTAAGTGGAGCTGGAGCTGCTATCCCAGAGGAACTGCCTTGAATGTCCTATGTGTCAAATCTTGAAGTGTTGAAACTAGGCATAATAACCTTTGGACTGGGCTTAAGCAACCTTGTGCCCCAAAGAACTGATTGTAAAGATACAAGAAAGCAAATACTGCCCTGGCTGGTTTGGCCCAGCAGTTAGAGCGTCGGACCAATGAGACCCAGGTTGATTCCAGCCAAGGGTTGTGACTGGTCCCCAAACCACCCTGACCCGGGTCTGGAGGGAGGCAACTAGTTGATGTGTCTCTCTCGCACTGATGTTTCTCTCTCTCTCTCTCTCTGTCTCTCTCCCTCCCTCCTAATCTGTCTAAAGATAAGTGGAAAAATTTCCTCCGATGAGGATAAAAAGAAAAAGAAAGCAAATACTATACCTGACTTATGACTACTGGACTGAAGATTAAAAACATTGTTTAGAATTGACATCGCTATGTTATCTGACCAACAGAAATAAATGCCCTCCTTCTGTTGATATAATTGTTCCCCTTCCCTTTCTCATAAATACCCAATGCCTTTGTCTGTCATCAGAACACTAGTTGGAGCATCCCAAATACCTGTTCTCATTGATCTCAAGTAAACGTTTGTTGCCTCTCATTTTGGCCTTTTATTTAAGTTAACACATACAGAGCTTGAATATTTTTTTTACAGGCTGCAGACATGGATGAAATGTTAGCAATAGAGGCCTTGGACTGTTGAATTATGAGCGATTTCCCTCCTGCTCCTTTTTACTTTTCTGCACGTTACGAACAGTACTCTATAAGTAGGCAGCGACTGTATGATCAGGGAAAGGAAAAAGGTAAAGTTCTTGAATTTTAACTGGGAGGCGAGGGAAGGGGCCCCTGCAGCTGGCTGACCCTGGGCCGGCCGCCAGGCGCACGCCCCGGGGCGCCAGGCCCGCTCCCAGCGCTCACTTACTTGTCTGGGACGCTGGGTGCTCCTGGCTTCTCTGGAAGGGGTACCTGAACAGCAGTTTATTGCCCCTGCTCCCCGAGCTCACCAGAATCACGCTGATGGGGCTGGTGTTGTCCCCCATCCTACCGTGCGGCCCCGGGGGTGGGGGTGGAGGGGTGGGGGGGCTCTGAGGACCGGCCGGGTGTGACGGGTCTTAGGAAGACGCGCCGAGGGCTGGGGCGGGCCTGAGGGGGGCTGGACGGCAGTGTGGCGTTGGGAGGCTCTGAGGAGCCCGGGACCGGGGAGTGGGGGGGCCTGAGGAAGACGCGCCCGGGGAGGGGGAAGGGGACGTGACACGGGGGCCACGGAAACACCGGGCGCGGAGAGCCAGGCCGACGGAGCCAGCGCCACAGTCACCAAACCTACGCGCTAGCTAGCGCGTCCCGCCCGGCTCGTGAAATTTCCGCCACAATGCCAGGCAAAAGCGCAGAAGATTCCTGCGCGCAGGCCCGAGGGCGTTTGCGCAGGCGTGCGCGGCAGTGTGCGCAGGCGCAGGGCTTTCTCTGGGAAGCCAGGCATGCGCGTGGAACCGCCCTTTTCCTGCTTGGGGAGAAGGGTACCGCCCACCTGCTTGAATGGGTAACTGAGGCGGCATCAGCCAGCTCTCAGGTTCAATGCAGCTGTCTCCACATGATGCTTTTTTCATTATTATTACAGTATTTCTTATTTTTGTTAATCCTCACTGAGGGATATTTGGCGGAGGATTCGAACCTGCAACCCAGTGCCTTTGACGGGTTCCTTCGGTGCCCAGGCCCACGCTCTAACTGAGCCACACCGGCCAGGGTGATGCATTCTTCTTTATAAAAGTAATATTTGCTTTGGGCAGAAAGTTTAAACTTACAAATATAAAGTACTAAAATAAAAAAGTTTTTTTAAAAAATCATTTCAGTGGATTATAGACCTAAAAGAAAGAGCTAACACTATAAAATTATTACAAAATATATAAATCCGTGACCTTGGACTGGGCAATGATTATTTAGATATGACACCAAATGCACAAGCAACTAAAGAAAAACTTAGCTGGGCCCTGGCTGGTTTGGCTCAGCGGTTAGAGCGTTGGCCCTGGGGCCAAGGAGTTGCTTTCGTCAAGGGCATGTACCTCGGTTTCTATTCGTCCCAGCCCTGGTTCCATCATACCAGAGGCGGCCACTGGATGTGTCCCTTTCTCGTCGATGTTTCTCTCTCTCTCTTCCTCTCTCCCCCTCCCACTCTGGACAAAAATGGAAAAGTGTTCTTGGGTGAGGATAAAAATTTTTAAAAAGGAAAAAACTTAATTGGACTTGATCAAATTAAACACTTTTGTGCTTCAGAGGACACCACCAAGAAAACAAAAAGAGCACCCACAGAACAGGAGAAAACATTTGTAATTCATATATCTGATAAGGGAATTGTATCCAGGTAAATTTTTTTTTAACTCTTACAACTCAACAATAAAAAGACAAGTAACCAATTGAAAAATATGCAAAGGACGTGAATTGATATTTCTCCAAAGAATATACACAAGAGGCCAATGAGCACATGAAAAGATGCTCAACATCATTACTCATTAGGCTAATGCAAATCGAAATCAAAAAGAGCCCTGGCCAGTCGGGCTCAGTTGGTTGAGCATTCTCCCATACATCTAGAGGTCCCCATTAGATTCTGGTGAAGGTACGTACATATCCAGGTTTCAGGTTGGATCCCTGGTCAGGTGCTTGTGGGATGTTTTTCTCTCATTGATGTTTCTAGCTCCCTCTTCCTCCCTCTTTCTCTAAAAATCAATAAAAACATATTTAAAAAAAAAAAAAAGAGAGATACCACATCATGCCCATTAGGATGGCTATAATCAAAAAGACAAAATTACAAGTGTTGCGCTCTGGCTGGTGTGGCTCAGTAGTTAGAGTGTCAGCCTGTGCAACAAATGGTCACAAGTTTGATTCCTGGTCAAGGCACATGCCTGGGTTGCATTTTCAATCCCCGACTTCATCAGGGCACCTGCAGGAAGCAATCTCTCCCTCCTTCTCCTTCTTCTCCTTCTCCTTCTCCTTCTCCTTCTCCTTCTTCTTCTTCCCTCCCTTCCCCACTCTCCCTAAAAAAGTCATGGAAAAAATATCTTCAGATGAGAATTAACTAAAAACTTTTTTTAAATAAGTGTTGGCAAGGAGGGAGATAGAGAAATTGGAATCTTTACACATAGCTGGAGGGTATGTAAAACGCTGCAGCTACTCTGCAAAATAGTCTGGCAATTTCTCAAAAGGTTAAGTTTAGAGTTCCCATACAACCCAACTATTCTATTCTTGGGTATATATATATACCCAAGAAAAATGAAAACATAATTCCACACAAAAACTTGCATGTTCATAGCAACATTATTCATAATAGCCAAAAAATGCAAACAACTGGTGAGTAGGTGAATAAAATTTGCTATAATTTATACAAAGGAATAGTATTCAGTCATAAAAAGGAATAAAGTGCTGACACATAAAAGAACTTTGAAAAAATACATGGTGCATGATTTCATTTAAATAAATGTCCAGAACAGGCAAATCTATAGAGACAGGAAACAGATTAGGTTGTCTAGTTGGAGGTGTGTTACTTTAATGGATATGGGGTTTCTTTGAGGGTGATAAATGTTCTAAATTTATGGTAATGGTTGCACGACTCTATGAATATACTAAAACCCATTCAATTGCACACTTTATTTTCCCCAAAAAATCAATACATGGCTTTTATTGCATCTTTTTTTTTTTTATCCTCACCCAAAGACATTTTTGCATTTATCCTCAGATAGTGGGAGAGGGAGAGAGGGAGGAAAAGAGAGAGAAACATCGATGTGAGAGAGACATATCGACTGGTTGCCACCCACACGACCCCAATAGGGGCTGGGGACAAACCGCAACCGAGGTACGTGCCCCTAGCAGGAACCAAACCCAGGACTCTCTGGTTCATGAGCCGATGCTCTAACCACTGAGCAAAACCAGCCAGGGCTTTTCTTGAATCTTTAAAATATCACAAGTAAGTCTGAGGAATCATCTGGCATCTTGCTGTTTCTATAGCTGGACAACGTAGCTCTTATTCATCAGCCTGCTGAACTGTTCCTTTTTCAGAAACATAGATACCGGCCAAAATTTGTCTGATATCCTTGTTTGTTTGTTTTTTAATTGATTTTTAGAGAGAGAGAAAGGGAGACGGAGAGATAGAAACATCGATGAGACAACATCACTAATCATCAGAGAGATGCAAATTAAAACAACTATGAGGTATCACCTCACACCTATCAGAATGGCCACCATCAACAAATCATCAAACAACAAGTGTTGGCAAGGGTGTGGAGAAAAGGGAACTCCAGTACACTGCTGGTGGGAATGCAGACTGGTGCAGCCACTGTGGAAAACACTGGTGTTACCTCAAAAAGTTAAAAATTGAACTGCCATTTGACCCAGTGATCCCACTTCTAGGAATATATCCTAAGAAACCTGAAACACTAATCAGAAAGAATATATGTACCCCCATGTTTATAGCAGCACTATTTACAATAGCTAAGATCTGGAAACAACCCAAGTGTCCATCAGTAGATGAGTGGATTAAAAAGCTGTGGTGCATGTACACAATGGAATACTATGTAGCTATAGGAAAGAAAGATCTCTTATCTTTTGAAATGGCATGGAAGGACCTGGAGAGTATTATGCTAAGCAAAACAAGCAAGCAGAGAAAGACAAATATCACATGATTTCACTTATTTGTGGAATATAATGAACTAAACAAACTGCTGAACAAAATTAACCCAGAGACATAGAGGTGGGGTACAGACTGACAAGCCTCAGAGGAGGGGGGGAGGGTCTGTGGGGGAAAAGATAAACCACAGAATTTGCATGTATGCATGACCAATGAACATAGACAACAAAGCTGGGGATGGGGCGGGGGGAGGGGAGGAGGATGTCAATGGGGGAAAAATGAGAAACATCTGTAATAAAAACAAATTAATAAAAAAAAAGAAAGAAAGAAACATCGATGAGAGAGAACATCGATTGGTCACCTCCTGCATGCCCCCCACTAGGGATCAGGCCCACAACCCTGGCAAGTTCCCTGACAAGGAATAGAACTGGTGACCTCTTGGTGCATGGATCAATGCTCAGCCACTGAGCCACACTGGCGAGGCTGATATCTTTGTTTTTAACTGTTGTGGCTTGCTGAATCAAAGCAGCCGAATTTGATACAAGTTCAATTTCATTTCATTCAAGAATTAATTCATATTTCTGGGCTTGAGATATTGAACAAGCAACATGTGACCTCATTTGAACCCCGTGGATGTATTTTTTGCCCAAGAAATTTCTGATTTCAACAAGAGAATCATTCTGAATTACAGCGTTGCTGGGGAAGTGAGGGTACACAGACGTCATTCTGTAATGGAATCCCAGTGTAACACCCTTAATCATGTTCTATACATAACTGCAGGCAGTGTAAATGGTGGCCAGTTCCTTTTTATTTCCCCACCATTTGTTAACCCGAAGCCTTTTTTTCTTTCCAAGGAGACTGATTTCTATATTGATGTGATTGACGTCCCTCCACAGGGTGCCTCTGGGTCCGTCCCTTCCCAATAACTGTTCATCCCTTCGTAGCGATGTCAACATTTTCTGGAATGCTGACAGTCTGATTGCTGAGAATGGTCTTCACCCTCTAAGTAGATGAGGAAAAAAAAACAAAGACTGGCCCTGGCTGGTTTGGCTCAGCGGTTAGAGCGTCGGCCTGCGGTCCAGAGAGACCCGGGTTCGGTTCCCGCTAAGGGCACGTACCTCGGTTGCAGTTTGTCCCCGGCCCTGGTTGGGTCGTGTGGGTGGCGGCCACTTGATGTGTCCCTTTCACATCGATGTTTCTCTCTCTTCCTCTCTCTCCTTCCCGCTCTATCTGAGTAAAAAATGGGAAAATGTCCTCGGGTGAGGTTAAAAAAATAAAAAATAAATTAGTAAAAAAAAAAAAAAACAAAGACTGAATCGCACACTTTATTTATTTTTTATTTTTTTTTATTTATTTTTTTATCCTCACCCGAGGACATTTTTTCATTTTTTGTTCAGGTAGAGTGGGAGGGAGAGAGAGGAACAGAGAGAGAGAGAAACATCAATGTGA